GTGTCCAGAGTGATAGAGAGAGAGATTTATTGCCACAAAAACAAAATCAACACTAATATAAACATAATACAATAACGAAAATATTCCACAGTAATTGATTATTGCCTTGTGCAGGTCGGTGTGCAAGACCGATTAAAGTCATCTAGGCTCCCGACCCTTGTGTATGTGCTATATATAAGTTCATCATAGGTGGATACAAATGAGATTAAATATAAATATATAAAAAATAAATACGAGGAAAAAAGGAGACGAGTCGGCAATTTAATGATATTATGGAAGTTATTAAGGGCAATTTAGGATTTAGAGAGGTCATGTGTTGGTTGAAGCCGGACATGTCCAATGGAAAACTTTTCCCGAAAAGCATATTTTTTGTTATTGGACACAGACCGGGATCAAAATGAATACCAAGGACGAAAAATAATATTATCACAGATTCAGTAATAGACCGAGTGCATGATGTAGAAATATCATTACTTATCGATCTTTGTCTGTTTGTCTGTCTGTTAGATGCAAGCGATATCTCAGGAAAGCGGGGTTTAATCTCCACCCAATTTTCATCATATTACGGACCAGATGGCTATTGATTTTGGTCGAGTTATGTCGTATAATTAGGGAGCTATTAATTAATTGGTGTTTGGACACACGGTGTCACTAGTATAGAGTCATGAATTGAAACCGCAGTTTTGATCGATAAGTCTTTGGTCTCCGACCGATATTCTCGTTTGACACCTTAATTAGTTCACGAGAAGAATACAGGGAAAAAAATTGTGATGATCACTGAATATTGTATAGTTGCTACCAATATTCATAAGTATCTATACATATTCAAAAAGGAACTGGAATATTATTATATGATTCACAATTAAATATACATCTCACTTGCTACATAGAGGGTTTTACAATATAAGGAGGTCATTATTTGAAATGGACTTGAATAATAATGTAAATATACATTTCATCACTCATTACACAATGAATTCTAACAATATAGTAGCTTATAAAGTTAATTTATGAAATGAAACCAAGAATGAAAAGAGACAGTGACAATCACTGAATATATACTGTATATTGGCTACCGACATTCATAAGTATTGATACATACTTGAGAAATGAAATGCTGATACTTCATCTACAATTATCATTATGGCCTTTCCTCGAATGCCATAATGATATAACTTAACTAGTAAAATTTGGTGGTTAACAGTATCAAAAGCTTTCGCAAGATCCACAAATATGGCACATGTGATCTTCTTATTGGCCTTATTGTCTATTATCATTTATTTGAGCCGCGCTATGGCTAGCTCAGTTGAATAGTTGTTTCGGAAACCAAACTGGGAAAGGCTCAAAGTTCCATGTTTATCGAAATAATATTTGACACGATGATATAAAAAATTTTCATAAATCTTGGCAATTTGTGATAGCAGGGAGATAGGCCTATAATTATTCGGATCATGCTTAGACCCTTTCGTATGGAGCGGTATCACCTTAGCTATTTTCAGTATATCTGGATACACATGATCTGTAAAACTTTGATTAAAAAGAGAGGATAAAATTGGCGATAAAACACTAATTAATTAATAACTCGCTAATTATACGACATAATTTATCCAAAATCAATAGGCTCCTGGTCCGACATATGATAAATGTACATGCAAAATCTGGAGCAGATTCAATCTCGCTTTCGTGAGATATCGCGTGCATCTAACAGACAGACAAACACCTATCAACATACTTATCGATTAAAATCGATAAGTAATAACTCAATAATTATTTTTATCTTTCTGGGAGTTTAGTTTAATCAAAACCGGGATTCTATTGGATCAAAATGATGGCATGAAACGCGTAGTAAGCCAGTTTATGTTATTTATATTTTTTGACTGCGGAGCATATTTTACATTTTTTTATGTGGCTGACGTACTTCTACTCTGCCACTACATATTTCTTTCTTATGGCCGCACGAGGCTCGTTTCACTTAATTTTGATGAATGGGGGTATCTTCAACAGGGAAGTACTCCCTTTTCTAAGTTCGAGTAGTTTAGGTTCAGTGTGTGTGATAACCTTTATATATTACACTTTGTTAAGAAATTATGACAAAGTCGCTCGACCAAAACTGCAGGTATATCTCGCTGGACTGTCGTCTGCCGTGAACTGTTTTGCGCGTTCGTTTCCTGCAGTTGTGTTTGAAAGCATATCTATTTTATAGCATATCTATTTTATATCTATTTCACCAAGGTTACTCTAGCCCACAATTTGCCATCCCACAATTTCGCAGTGGTCAGAAGGTTAATCGTGCATATATTTACAGCGATTAGGGGATTTTTAGCAGGGCATACCTAATGAATTTAGACATGGGACTAATGATCTTTTTCATCAAAACCAATCCCATCAATCAAATCTGCAGCACGCTAAACTAAAATGTGGGAACATAATTGTGGGCCAGGGTAACCGAAATTGTGGGATGGCGTAACCAAGCACTACAACATAATTCCGATGTGTCTATATGTCTCAGCTATATCTGGAATAACTTCTTATCACTTTTTAGATATCCTAAAGCACCGCACTGCACAAATCTACGCGATACAAAAACGCCTGAACTGAACAAAACGTCCAAAACTGGAAAATAAAATTGTGGGATGGCGTAACTTTTTACTACAACAGATCACCTGCGGTACACATTTGCCCAACAACACCAGATGTCGTGAAAACAGAGAAGGAATTTCGATTTTCGTCGAAGGTTTACAATAATAACCATTTTTAATTGTGTATTTTATCTTCGAGTTCATGAAAAAAGTAGATTGATTGATTGATATGCAAACTAACTATGAAATAATACATTGAATCGCCTGAAATGATTTCTTAGGCAACGACGCTTTCTTACGCTTAGAAATATTCTTATTATTTTTCCAAGAATTGTTACCAGACAATATTACGTAACCTAAATTTCTATTTCATAGGAACTTGCCACGCATTAGTTTATTATAGATGGAAAAAACATAAAAATACTATTCAGAAAATAGTAAAATGAACTTGACGTGCATGGGGTAATGATATGCAAATTTTCCTCCCTATTCTTCGTATATAATTAGGGTTACCATATTTTTGTGACTTCAAATCGGGACGCCTCGAAAGACAACGACCCCTTAGCTGTGATTTTGTAACTTCACATTTTCCGATTTTACTACATAGGCCTACATTCCTACATTTAAAGCTGTCTCGGCTGTCTTTATTGACCATATTGTTATCGAAATTTCATGCGCATATTCCCTGTCCAAATATCGGGTTCTGTTCGAAAAATAGGAAGGAATTGACGTGAACGATACCGGTGCAAATAATTCAAATTTAGGCTAATTAGTATTAGTTTTACATGCGATACGTCTGTCATCAATGGGAATCAGCGGGGAAACGAACGCATTCACATTCAGTAGGTAGGCTAGCGCTGCGCTACACAGAAACAACAGTAACGAGAACATGTTTGTGTATTATGCTGGAAAAGCGGGACTTTTGGCTGACTTATCGGGACGGCGGGACAAAACGCTGAAAAGCGGACTACCAAACCTGTAGTCCCGGTTAGCGCGTATACCTGCAGTTTTCGTCGCCTGGTAACCGTTGCTCACGCATGAATGCGTCAGAATTAGTTAGTTACTTGTTTTTCGGAAGCATGGACTTGACGGTGGAGGAAGCCGTAACCGACCAGCGGTTACGTGAACCACCCTACGGGCTACGGCGGCGAGGAGTCCAGCAATCCTCTCGCACACAACCATCCCGCATGTCATTCGAACCTGCGAACCCACGCAGAGTAATTAGAGGTGCGGTGGCGAGCGTAACGCTTATCACGATGAGCCACACCACCGCGCCTACTACTAGCTTCACAGCGGTCCATTTAGTTGGTAGGCTAATTGGTTTTGACGTGTTCGCGAAAGCTGAAAGGTGCATGTAATCTACAATCAGTTAGTTTTTGATGTTAGAACTTATCGGCACTGTTTATTGGTGGCAGTTTCATAACAATCAAAGTGTATTTATTAATTGGCACCCACCGAGTGTTTATGTTACTGAAGTTTGACGCCCGAACAATACGGTACCAGTTTGTGTCTTTGTCTTTTTTATTTTGAATATATGTTTGTGTGTTGAATGTGGGCAAACTAGCGCATGCATATTTACATGTATTAAACCTTTATAAAGGTTTTGTCAGTTTCCCCGATTTTCCCAATCTTCCGTGTGTTTATTATTTGTGTTTTGTGTATGATTTTTTGTGGGAAAATTAAAATATGCTTATACTAACAATTAATGGTGAACAATCAATGGACTCGCCAAATGGAATCAATGTATACGAACCTATAATACAGTAATAGACAGATATGCTGAAATTAATTGTTTTGTTGGAATCAACATGGCTAATACCATATGTAATATATTCCTTTGGAATTAATGGAAACAACTTTGCTTTTAATGTTTATATTAGTTTTCACTTCTGTACAATATTTATCATTATATATTTATTAAATAGGCTATTTAACATTTGAATAATCTACATTGCAGTTGCAGTACTAAAGTTAGCCTTGACACAGATATAGCTGCTGAGCTGTGCGACATCTCATGATGCAACATCTCATTCAGTCATTAGTACCATAAAATCACCATTTTTTTAATTGGAACCCAACTTTTTGTCATCTCCTACTGTTCCCCCTACTATTTTCAGATGTTATTAATTTACAATCAATACCTGTTATACTCATTGGGTGATTTATTACCGATACCAGTATCTTTTTCAATACTATACTGGATGCAGGATCGCTGCATCTTAGTTATTACTTGTTACTTGGATGTATTTTTTGTGCTTTTTAATTGTACAATTGTTTAATTGCAAATACCACCTAATTTGAAGGGTTGGAAGGGTTTGATTACTTACCAATTACTGTATTTATTTTTTTACCCAATGAATTCAGTTTTTAATTCATTTTTTAGAAAAATTGCATATATAGACTACATATACCGTAATTGCAACAGCAATCAAACTTCCCCAGTCTGTCACTTCTAGATTTTAAGATCTTGCTTTATTTTGCACATTGCAGAAACATGTATCGGTATGTTCCTGCAGGTGAAAGTGATTTCGATTCTGATGATGACGATTTATTTGAATTTGGGGATGGCGATAATTCAAAGTTTCAGAACGCTCCTGAAAAACACTACCAGATATCCTCTCCAAGTCCTGGGAATAGTATTCCGTTTTGTGCTCAGAAGCATAAAACTGGTCCCCACACATTGGCTTTAAATGACTTACAAACTGCTGTAACAGTCGGTGATTTAAAGGCTGTAAGTCTTTTAACGAGAGACCAAACTGACATTGATGTATTTCTAAGTTCTGATTGGAATGCATTGATGTATGCTGCATACTTTGCGCAAGTTGAAATAGTGCGTTTTTTGATCGACAATAATGCTAATGTGAACTTGAGCAATAGGGAAGGGGTCACTGCGCTGCATACTGCTTGCAAATCCAACATAAGACAGAAAAATGATGGACTCGAAAATATTGTTGAACTTTTGCTGGGTGGGGGGGCTGACGAAACTTCTACTGATTCGAAGGGAAGGACGCCTTTGATGTACGCTGCTCGTGGTGGTTTGTCTAATGTTGTACAGGTTTTTCTCGAGCATATAGCTGACAAGAAAAGTCTTTTTATGAAAGATGAAAAAGGATGGTCTGCTGCAGACTGGGCAGCTGTGTATGGACACCTGGATGTTTTGAAATTATTTTTGGATTTGGGAATAACACTGGACTCTGCATGTAATAGCTGTGCAATGTGGCCAGAGAGTGTGAAGGAATATATTACTACTAAGGCTTCTATGTGTAATAAAATCAGTGAAGAAATTAGTCCAATACATGAATCTGCTGATTTGTCTGAGGATTGCATGGAAGCAACGGCTGAAAATATTTTTCAGCCGTCTCTTCGTCCTCAGAATGATGTCATTAAAATTGCCACTTTCAATGCTGGCAATAAAAATCCAGTTGAGATATCTGATACAACTCTAGACAACGTGGCCGATGATGAAATAAAGCGAAATATAGTTCAGGCAGGTGTAGACTTGTTAGAAAAAGAATCTGGATTTTTTGAACAACCTATTCCAAATACAGAAAACTGTGATGTGATGAAGGGCAAAGTAGAAGAAACACTGGTAGCTGAAGATGAAGAGGAAGAACTTGTCAGCATTCTACCTGCTATGGTTGTTCGTGAAAAAATGGAAGATCAGGCATATGAAACGTAGGTTTATGTTATTTAATATTTTTGAATGATTTTGTGGGTAGCGCTTTTTATTCACTATTTTCATGAACAAACCATGAGTGGCTTTGGATAAGGCTGAATTGCACCTACGGTGACTACCCAACTGAAAAGCTGAATGTACTTGCTTGAACATTTACTTGTGTTTTGATGTGTGCAAATTAGTACTCAAATCAGCCTAATAGTTGACAGTGAGTCAACTCACATGATCAGCCTAGACATGATCAGTGTATAGGGACAGAATTTTTCAAATTTATTAATATAAACGGAAGACCACCCAACAAGTTGAACTTTTAAACTTACATTGTCAGCAATAATAGCATCTTGATAGAGGAAATTTGTGGCAGAACATTCAAGATACCGTATTTTGACTTGGCTTGTCGGGAGCTATGGACAGTGGACACTTTAATATTATTACCTTTCTGTTTCTGTCTTCAATTACCCAGTAAACCTCACTTTGGCCTTATAAAGAAGTCCAGACTTATCATAAAAACTTTGAAAAAAATTTTGACCACGACCTATTGGCCAAGATTCGTGCAGTGTAAAAGTCTAGAACTTATTTTCTTGTGATATTTCCCAGATATGGTCAACTTGAACTGTTTCTGCTTGGACTGGATCTGGCAAGACTTATACCAATTTTTAAAGTGAGTGTAATTAATGTTGTCTGAAATTTTAATTTTTGTATTTACTGGTCTGGTCGAAGTATGAAAATTGGGTCGTCCAGTCCAATGTTTCCGGACTTCAGAATAACAATATGAATTACCAGAATATCTCACACACGCCATTCGAATGTAATTAATTTTACTTATTTTTCTGCTTGTTACTGTAGTCTGTAATTGGAACGTAATATTTTTTATATCTATTACAGGAACAAGATGTTACTTTTAAGCAGTTATTATGCTTAACTATGGAAGAGTTGGAAACAATAGGAATACCTGCATACGGGACCAGAAAAAGAATTTTGAGTGCGGTATGTTTATGGCTTATGTTGCTTTTGTCCCATGTGGAAATCTGACTCTTTGTTTCCAAAGTTGATTTGATGTTGAAATAAATTACTCTTGCTTACTCTAGGGTGCTCTTTAACTTTATTAGTCAAACTTATGTTGGTTTACTCCTAATTGAAATTGTGAGGTTTCTAAAGCATTGCACGCAGTTGTCGCATTGCTTGAAAACCTGTTACTCCTGTTACAGATTAAGTCCAAAAAGATTTTCAATAGAAAACCCGCCAATAAATACTGGACTTTGGAGACACATTAATATGCCAAAACCATACCATGAATACACTGTTGGTTTTAAGTTTATATAGTAAATTATCTTTAAAAGATGCCTTCTTTGTTACAGATTCGTGAATGTCACGAAAAACATACAAGCAAGTCAGATCTTCCTGATTATACAAATACAGCATTGACATTCGATAATATGGTATCTTTAATCAGTGGTGCATCTGAACAAGTAGCCTACATTTCAAGCTGCTTGAAGTAAGTAAGATGAGGATAGGATTAGAGCTTGACCGATATTCATTTTTGACGCCGATATCGATATATCGGCCAACTAGTGGCCGATAACCGATCCCGCTATTAAAATAAATCATATTTTAAGCCACGCTTTTATGATGCACCTCGTGAGTCTGTAGTATCATTTTGATATATATTATCATGGCAGTAAGACTTTTATTTAACTAACTCCAGTTAATACTTGAACAAATAGTATTCTGTAACTTTTCCTGCTACTTCAATATCAGTCTAGCTATTTCCAGGAAAAAGAATTGGAAATTTGACAATTTCAAATATAACTATGAGCATATGTTGAGGATATTAAAAAATTATAAATTGATATATTTTAAAGTGAATCGTGATAAAGATAAATTCCTTCGATATTGTGATAGCATATGTGCAGTTACATGTGAAATTTTTAATAACTTTGTTTCCAGAGACTCTCAATACCTTATTTAGTCAATAGTAATGGATTAAGTTTTTTTTCTGTAATTCTCAGCGAAATGAAAAACAACCATCAATATAGATAAAAACTGTTACCCCAGAAAATCAAAATTGAAATTGGGGAGGTCACAAATTTGGAACTGATATTATTGCTTCCAGCTACCTGTACCAAGTTTCTGTGATTACAAACTCACCAACTTCCAATCGATACTATTTATAGAACCACCGTTTAATGTTGCCTTTTTCTCATTGTATACTCTCTCAAAAACGTCACTTTATAAAACGTCATTGTTACTCCAGATAATAATTATTCAGTTATGACCATGCATGAAATGGCTAATCATAAGACACCGGGAATTAGGAGAGACACCTTTATAACGCAAAATGAAAGCGAGAGAAATATTAGGAAACCAGTTACCAGGGGCGAGAGCCGTTGCAGCACGCAGACGGCACTTGCCGAGTATGGCCGATATATATCGGCGGTTTACGGCCGATGTGATATATCGGCAAACACGCAATATCGGTCCGATATATCGGCCGAGCTCTAGATAGGATATCATTTTACCTTGTTGGGACAGGTGAAAGACGATAAGATTAATCATATGACTTACCACAGCCTCTTGTCCTGTTACCAGTCCATGGCGGGATCAGTTAGCCAGTCATTTGTTTCAGATGCATAGACTTGATGGTGGGTGGAGGAAACCATACAATGTAAATATTCCATTGACACAATTTGGTTTTGATGAAATTCAAATAATTTTTGATTTTCTGTATGTGTGGCATTTTATTGAATGCTTTTATAAAAGTTTTCTTGAAGCAATGTTGCAATTTTTCAATTAAAGGCAGAAATAGGACTGGTGGAAAGTCCGTTTGCCTATATGCTTGGCAAACAGAAAGTACCATTAAAACAGATGTATTTTCTAGGCTTTGAATGCTCGCTATAAGTAAGTGGCAAAAAATACGTGCTAACATTTGTCCCAAAACAATTTTCAAATGACTTTCGGAATGCTTTACAGATATGCTCGTGCATATTTAGTCAATATTACTTTTATAATCATTTCTAGATATATTCGACATCATATTGAAATGTATCCTGATGCTTTCTACCCTCAATCTAATATGACATATGATGAACCTCCTCTACAAAGTTTCAGCAATAAGGTAATACAGATTCATATACTTCTGTTACTGGGCTAGGCTTTGATATATATCCCAAAAAGATAGAGGAGAATCAGCATGATGGCTCAATCAAGCTCTGTCGTCATATTATAAATCTACAGTCTGGTGTCTATCATTCAGCCTATTCAAAATATGAGAATATACATGTACTTAAACCTGGTTATGATTGTTTCCGGATTTTAGCGTCCAATTTTTTTTAAGATACTCTTCACAGAGCAATGCCACACTCAGTGACTCATTGCTGGTATGCTTTATTAATAATCACATTGCCTTGAATTTGAATACCTGTTTTGTTTTAAGCTTGAAGACATGACTCAAAGTATGTACGATCTCTGCAAGTCTTTGAAATGTGTGAAGATGGAAACAGAAAAAATAAGGAAAAACACTCTACAATCGGAGCTAATTACTCCTGGTATGGAAGTTGGTCCACCAAAAATAATTTATGGTCGAAGAAGTAAAATAAAAATTTGCATAGGAGTTTCACTGATATGCTTCTTAGCCTTTTCCATACACAATGGAATGGTGAAATGATTGAATCTATTGTAAACATGGTTTTGTGAATGCAAACTGTTTTGATTATATCGTGATGGTGATTTCTTTCTGATATATGCTTTTTATTTTATTTAATAATTAATTTCAAATAAATAAATAAAAAAAACTGTCGTTTTTGTTATGTGATTAGGAGAGGATTTTCATTATTTATCCCCGGGGAGAGGAAAGCCGATAAGACGGCTTAACCATATGGCTAAGCACGGCCTCTGGCCCTGTTACCATTCCGTGTCGGGTATGGTATTAGTTAGGTTTTTGTTTTCGGGAGCATGGCCTTGATGGTGGAGTAAGCCGTAACCGCCCAGCGGTGGCGTGGACCACCCTACGGCGGCGAAGAGTTCAGCAATACTCGCGCACATAACCGTCCCCGCATGGGATGCGAACCCACGCAGTGTGGCGAGCGCGTTGTTAACGCTCAGCACATGTGCCAAAGCAACCTGCCATTTGCCAGCTATTCAAAGGCATTACTTGATTTCTCTCATTAAGTCGGACAAATTTCGTGATGCTAAAAATGGTTTTGTTTGCCGAAGTCTTATTTGATATAAATACTGACGCACAGGAAAACGCTGGTACGTGGAGAACACGGCTGGGCCAAACTACCGTTATCTGTGTTCCCAACGTTCTGATGCCCTCCTTTGGCCTATTTTGAAACTCTTCATTCCTTCCACGCTGTTTATAAAAACCCTGCTTAGGATTTACATAATTATCCCAGGGGAGCGGATATCCGTTAGGACGGCCTAATTATATATATGATGAATCACGACCTTTCGTCCGGTTACCAGTCCATGTCGAGTATGGGATTAGTTAGCCAGTTATTTTGTTTTCAGATGCATAGACTTTATGGTGGAGGAAGTAGTAACCGAGCAGCGGGTACGTGAACCACCCCAAGACGGAAAGGAATCCAGCTATCCTCTCGCACATAATTATTACCCACGGAAAGCGAACCAAGCCGGGTCGCGATGCGCCACACCGCCGAGCCATTTGTTTTGCAATTCGACTCGCGTTTATAATATGTATCAGAAGCACAAAAAATAAGTAGAGAATAAGAGTAATACTACAAATTGAAAAATCCCACCCTGAAAAAATTAAATTGTATATCGTCACGCTAATAACCGAATTGCGTAAGTCATTTTTAGCGATTTTGAGTTTTTTATAAAATAGGTATTTAATATTTATGTAATGGATAGGACAGGATTTACGCCGATAAGACGGCTTATCCATATGGCGAACCACGGCCTCTCGTCCGGTTACCATTCCAAGTCGGGTATGGGTTTAGTTATATTGTTTGTTTTCGTAAGCATGGACTTGGTGGTGGAGGAAGCCGTAACCGACCAGCGGTTACGTGAACCACCCAACGACGGCGAGGAGTCCAGCAATCCTCTCGCACATAACCATCCCTGCATGGGATGCGAACCCATGCAGAGTAATTAGAGGTGCGGTGGCGAGCGTATTCCTAACGCTTAGCCCGTTGAGCCACACCGCCGCGCCAATGCTAATGCTGCGCAACTGTCTGTTAACTCAGATTTTATTTTAGGAATTCCGAAATCCATAAAAATGGAGATTTCGTATGACATGCACTTTTATGCAATTGTTTCGTCATAATGAATTATCAGTGTTACCGCAGGGCTATTGTGACGCCACAGAGGCAAAATAACCTCCGCGAAGTATTTTCAAGCTTTTGCATCTCGTATTCTAGCTTAGCGCGTATTAATTTAAATTTATACTACAGTACAGGAAGGCGTGCACTTATGATATTCACTGTTCGAGTCCAATTCACCTTGGTTGGCTTTCATATTGGGTGCATTGCTGTTTTACTCTTTATATTTAATCTTAGTCTTATTTCGGTGGGTGTGCAGAACGTGTTATATTATTGAAATATATATTCTTAAACATAAAAAATAATGTAATTGAAACTGATTAGCTATTTTTGGGATTAGACATTGTAGATACTGAAAATTACTTTCGTTTTTGGAATGTTTAGTTTTACGGACTGGTGCATATCGTCACGCTAATAACCGAATTGCGTAAGTCATTTTTGGCGGTTTTGAGTTTTTCATAAAATAGGTATTTATGTAATGCTGCGCACCTGTCTGTTAACTCAGATTTTATTTTAAGAATTCCGAAACCCATAAAAATAGAGATTTTGTATGATATGCAAATTTGTTTAATTATTTCGTCATAATGAATTATCATTGTTACGCGCAGAACTATTGTGACGTCACAAAAGCAAAATAACCTCGGCGAAGGATTTTCGAGTTTTTGCATCTCAAATTCTAGCTTAGCTTATAAATTTCAATTCATACTACAGTATAGGAAGGCGTGCACTTGTGATATTCACTGTCTGAGTCTAATTCACCTTGGTTGGCTTTTATATAAGGGTACATTGCTGTTTTATTCTTTATATTTAAATTTAGTCTTATTTCGGTGGATGTGCAGAGCGTGTTATATTGATGAAATATATATTTTTAAGAATGAAAAATAATGTAATTGAAACAGATTAGCTATTTTGGGGATTTGACATCGTATATACTGAGAATTACATTCGTTTTTGGATTGTTTGGTTTTCAGGACTGGTAGCCTACATATAGTCAAGTTGCAAAATTGCGTATGTCCCCTATTCATAGCCATAGCCTCTAAGTCAGAGTGCGCCATTATGACGTCACATGACAAATTAATACAAATCACATACAAATACAAATTAACCTAAATCCGGCTACGATCAAAAAATTGAACCATGGCAAATTATTGACTCTCAATGGCATAACAATTTCATTAGGAAGTTTTTTACGTTTTTCTCCAAACTGCTAAAAATGACTTACGCAATTCGGTTATTAGTGTGACGATATATATATATATATCATTGGGAGGAATTCTTGCCCGGCTGGGAAAACCCCCGTTGTCGTGAAGCTATATGTGCCATTTTTATTTCGTGGAGTGGGTATCTATCGGTATATTCAAACTAATCGATGCTCCAACATATGGTTTTATGCAGATGGCTTCGCTAATGTAGTGAACAGAAAATGACTGAAGCAAATATATGCATAGCATTTTGCCATTGTTTCTCGCATTTCGCTATGTCAGCTTATTGTTTACCAGATGTGATCTCCATACAATTTATTGCAGCTCTCCATATTCACGGTATTCTAACATATTTTGTAAATGAATGTGTTCTAAACAGCTATTCCTAAATATCTTATCGAATTCAAACGGGATAAAACAAATCCGTACCTGTACCTAAAATACTGATGCTCAGATAAAAATTATCTGTTATTTTTGCGCGAAGCTTCAACTTGCCTGTCACCAATGATGATATTCTAATTTGAAAAAATATCGCTTTGATTCCATGTAAAATAAAAATAAAAAACTATTGTAATCGAAATCTATGAAATAGAACATTTTGTCCGTTTCGATTTTGCACTGAAGTTCAGCAAAACAGCGTCTACAGCGTGATTTATGGTGTCTTCTACGCCTAACAATGTCTGTGCTGAACATTCCACATAGTCAGCTGCTCCAAGTGTTTGAGCTGTGTCTTGTCCTTGTTCTACGGTTACAGGAGTTTCATTCACACTTGATAATTTTTCCAGTGTTGCAATATCATCTCGCAGATCCGATTTTGTACCAACCAGAATGAATGGGGCATCGGGACAATGCTGTAAAATTTCTGGTATCCATTTTGACTTGGCACTTTCAAAACTTTGTGGCGATACCACTGAAAAACAGACCAACGCTACGTCCGTACCTGGATACATTAGCGGTCTCAGTTTATCTTCCGTTTCTCCAGCGGCATCGAAAAGTCCTAAATTATATATACTATTATCTCTTGAAATGCATAATGCGTGGTCCTGTATTGTCGGTATAGATTGCGGAAATTCTTTCATTGCGTATGTCCAAAACAAACAAGTTTTTCCCACGCCTCCATCACCAACTGCAACACACTTGATCTTTTGCATTTGCGTCGTCCCTCAAGCTTTCAGCGCAACTGATAAAAATTGTTACTAACGTAGTAAAATTAGATCGTGCGCAATATGACTAGCGAGAGGAAATAGTGACGTTATGGCTTCATGACTGTGTAATGTCCTGGTTCGACGTTATTAATCACCCGAACTTCTGATTCACGATACGGTTCCAAACGTATGCATGAATAGAATTGGTAATTAAACATTTTGATTATGAGGAAGTCACACTTTATTCAGTCAGCCAAAACTGTCAGCATTTTCGAAAATGTTTATGAATCATTTTTTGGACAAGTGTTTGCTTCAATGAGATCGTGGATAAGAACGGTACGATTGACACCGTTAGGGAGCATTGGAACAAAAACTGCAGTACTGGGCCCTTAAAGAAGACTTATGAAATAAGGGTACGTTGACTACCATCAGAAATATTGTAACGCGAGGAAACAAACTGCAGATTTTACTACAAGACTACGTAGCGTACCTCTTCTAACAAATCACAAATAAAAATCATATCAAATGCTGTTATCGGGTACTAAAATAAGTACTTTGAAATGTCCACTCGAATATCATCAGGCTGTGAAAATGACCACGAACTTTTAGACTAATAGATGTTTGCACCCATGGATGATTTCGCCCTGGATCCGAAAATACACCCATGAATATTTGTACACGGGACATTTTCACTAACGTACATATGCACTCGTGGCCATCTGCACCTATGAAAGTTCGCTTCCAAGTACATTTGCAGCCGTGGATATTTTTATCCATTCACGGGGGAATATATTATCAACCTTGGTTACCAGAAAGTGATCTCTCCCGCAAGTCGCCATATCGTGTGTGAAGTCCTAAATATATTTTACAGCAACAAGAGAAACACGTATCGCCACATAATTTTGATGACGTCATAGCAAAGAAATAAAAGTAATAGCCTTCTGGAGAAAAATTCCATCTTTAACCACTGAAAATTTCAAAGCAATTGGTCCAGTAATCAAAGAGAAAAGCGATTTCTTCAAAACGTGTCAAAGAACAGGAACAACAAAACGATCATTATGTCCACTACGTGTCCAACAAAGCAGCGTGCATTCAATACAAAGTCTGTTTTAAACGAAATATCTCTGACCATCAATCAGCATTGTGAATTTTGCGGACAGATGTACTCGTACATATTTATCGGGCGATCACAGATGTGTGTGCGACGGTACGTATCTTATAAGTGGAAAGTTGAAGAATTCGTTACGCAGGCCATGCCCTAATCTGGCACTGATGACGTGGGGGATTAATTGCCGTATACACCGCTATTATTCCAAAAAAGATCACCTGAATCGCACAATGCACTTATTTTCTTTTCATGTATTATTTATATTCATACGCCCACTGATTTGATCGACAATATACTCAAACAGAACTTAAAACCGGAACTGATTAAATAAAACGACGTCAACAATTTTATAGAATAAACGTAGAATCATACCTGGCCGACATGACACAATTTAGACTGTATTTACCCGTAGAACTAAAAATCACAAAGTTGACATCTATGCTTAATAATTCATGTGGCGTTTTGCGGTTTGTTGAAGCTGCCTTGTTTCTTGTCGTGTTTTAATAAACATCTCAATTCGGGAGATTTATAATTGTTCAAGAGAAGACTGTTCAGGTGATAACAACATACTCTTTCAACCACATTCAATATGCATAATTGGTAGTTTTCTAAGTGGCAGAACACATTTACCGCGATAAATTAAGACGATTACTTATTACGCAAGATTTAACGGTTTATAAGTTTTACACTCGGGTAAGTCCAAGTGCCGAAATATTATGAGAAATTCGCTGTTTGCGATTGGTTATTTTTCATCAATTCTCGTTGTCTAAATTTCAAGTGATAATTTGGGTTCAAAATTAGATGCTTTACTTTAACATTAGTTTATGAACGACCTGTGATTCTTATTACTATGTTTTCAATTCAAGCAAAAAAACAAAAATTGGTATGTTCTCAGCAATCTAGCCGCTCACCTTCGTTAATTCATACATTTAAAATAAATCCTACATTTTCAAGATGTTCAAACCGCATGAACATGCCGAGGAGAAATGTATGACCGCACGCTATCCAACATGTTTATTGACATAGCTTTTAAAGTGTCGTAGAATTCGGGAATTCCTACTGTTTGCGCATATTAATCTCTTTCAATATATTATTGATGATGTATTCTTAGGATTTCGGATACAAATTCGAACGCACAAGCGTAGTTCGATCTCGATACAAGCCACGGCGAGACGCCTTCATGTAAATTGCATGCTGTTTCGTTCACTGCTAAAAATATTGTATTTTTATCGAGAGTTTATGTGAATAAAAAGCGTACTATGGTGAAATTAAGGACAAAACAACACACCACATGGGTTACTGTGGCCCATCTAAATGCTGTCTGAAGGCTTTTCTGACTGGCTTTTTCCCAAGCTTCCTTTCTGAAAATATTGAAGATTTACTGGGCAACTTTTAACATATAAGCACCCCCCCCCTATCTGACTTTTGCGTTCAAAAACAACTTAAAAACACGAAATACTTCATGTCGAGATATGATTTGGGCTAAATGCCATATTCAGTTTTTGTGGTCGCATGCATATTTTAGGTTGAAATATTGTCAGGTGTTTCAAATGGCGGATTAGTTCGAACCGCGGACATATTATGTCTAGATGTTGTATGATAATTTCGTCAAGGTTGCCATTCACTGTTATACGATACTTGATGTCAAACTTCGAAAATGTAATCTTCCTCGAACAAGCTTTGTATACCAGTGGTCTAATTTTGCTTCAAATAGTGCCATCAAATAAATGCCATGCAATGCGTATTAAACCATAAATATTGAATTACAAGACAAATAAATCCTGGTACATATTTATTCAATTATCTTTACTGATACCTGCGTCATTTTATTTTTCTGGATTGTATTTGAGACTCTATTTTACAACAAATCAAAAATAGAAAAAGAACAAAGTTTGGAGAAAATGCACTGAATCATTTAATAATAATTAGTTAATAATGTGAGATGTGAGCTTTGAGTCATAACCAATCAAATTCGCGATCCGGCATGCACAAATATTAACAACCTATAAGAGAAGTGGAATATTTCTTAATTTATTATACAAATCTTATACCCGTACGAGTTCTTACTAAAACAGCGGTTCCCAACTGAGGGCTCGTTATAAGAGAGCTCCCCGTTCTTCCTATTTTCATTAGCCGAGAAGGTTAAATCCGTTTACAGGGTGTTTTCGCTTCCTTATGTATATACATGAATTATTTGAGCAAAATGGTGAACAGGGCGCCATGAGTACTAAAAGGTTGGGAACCATAGTGCTAAAGGTACATTACCTAGTGAGTGAGTATTTTGTTATTAGTTGTGCAATCATTTAGTGGGTGCTGAAAACGTACTAGCAGCATAAAACGATTTTGTAGCGATTGGTAATGCCTCAATATCCTAAAAATACAATTGATTAACATTATTTGACTATCATAAATATGTTGAAAATGATACGCACCCCATTAGTTCACAAATTTGCAATCAGTGAGGCTACAAAAATATTTTTAGGACATTAGGAAATTATTTCCATTTTAGTTTTGCAGTGAAGGGATTTGACCAAATGCCAAGATCGGGAAATTATGGATAAGAGAGAATTCCTACGAGATATAATGCATTAGGAAAAACTTTCGTTTTGTGTACGGGATTGTGCCAAGTGTCGTTACTCTCGTGGTAAAGCTGGAAGAAATAGCGAAAGACGATGTAAAAGAAGAATCAGACACTCGAGTACTATGAAGAACTAATGTCGCAACCTAATATGTTCATTTTAATGTGCATAGAGATAATAAAGAATGTGATTTGCAAAAATGAAAAGAGTATACTAATTTGTATTCTGTATCTGGCCAGCGTAATAAATAATGAATAATGTTAGACTCGAATCCCCATATTTCGATATGAAGTCTTCACGACGTTGGCGGTTTCGCAATACTTCACGTATAAGTATTCCATTTTAGGTTGAGTGGATTGGTAGAAATAGATTTGAGTTGTATTTATCCTAAAATTAATCGCACGCACTCAATATTGCCAATGACAAACACGGTGGCATGTGTGAGAGGTCATGGTCTATTACTCTATTCTATTGTTTTATGCGCACTTAGCCAGGGTAGTATGCATAAATAAGCGGACAGTATAGTAGTATCAACTTGCATCTTGAAGAACTGAAAAAATATTAGTAGAATGAGTAGGGCTTGATTGTACGTAGATTCAGAGATACTTACCCCTTTACAAAAGAGTAGATTGAATTACAAAATTACAAAACAGAAAAATTACTTCATGATAAATTCTGAATACTCATCGTTTAAATCTTAATTGAAATGTTATCTTCGAATTGTTTATACTGTATTTTGGCTAGCCACGCTCATGAGTGGGCCTAAACGGCGCCGGTAATTGAGAATATACATATACATTACAAAATAGCCATAGTCGTTATAGCAACAGTTTCCAACTTGTGTCGGGCGGCAAAATAAACAAAATTTAAGATAGAGTTTTGGATATGTCCATATCTTATCTACTTTGTTAAAATTTCAGAGCTTGTAGATGAAATATCCTATTTCTCCATTACTTCAAAAACAGCATAACAACTGATTGAAACATGAAAAGCGACACCGAGGTGGATGGCGGCATAAAGCTGGATAACGAAAAGACTTTTCCGGGTCGGAACGGACTTATTTCTGAGATAAAAAGAGCCCCGAAAAGGCATCTTCGTTTTATCAACTGTGTACTCGTATTTTGTGTCACTTCGGGAATTTTAACGACCTGTGTTGTAATTCATTTAGGTAAGTTACAAGAACTAATGAATTGCTTCACTAAAGCAGTAACCATCAATTACCTACTTTTTGTTCAATTAAAATGTACAAAGGTCGATGTGAAGATATATAAACATGCGATTCAAATTCGAACAATAATCGAACCGATTGCAAAATCAAGAGGAATTCGACTTGGCTAAACTATAATAATATGATTCATATATTTTATTGTTTATACAACAGTATTGAAAAATTGTCACCTGAACACGAAATGAAACAATTCAGCACGGCGGAAGGGGTTTGTCGTGCTAAATTAGATTTTCATTTCATGATATTTCACCGAAATTTGACACCAATGAAAACTCACAAAATTTAAAATTCACTTTTTATTTGTATTTTAAATTTTTTTAGAGTTTATATCGGGGTATCACTTTTACGGCGTGGCCCCGTTGTTTCTTACTTTTAACAAACATCACTGTTTTCTGAAAAATTCTTATATTGTAAAAATAAGTCTAAAGCGTCTCCCAAATAGACATAATAGACGGCTCATTTTGACATGAACAATCGCTCCCAAATCGGGAACGGGAAATCTGTTCCCTGAGGACGAAGTTCGTTTCGTGAAGAGCTAATTCATACTTAGAGTGTTTGAAATGTAAATATATAGATACGCCGGTATGTCACAGAAAGGTTCATCGATTTTTGTACTATTGGATAGTCATTTAAGTTTGGCATTGAAAACGCGTGAAGGTGAATTCAAAACTCACAAAAATATGATCTCTTTCAACGACAATTTTACATAATCTTACTATTGAATAATTTCGTCATTGAGTGAATTTTTCTAGTACAAAGTTGCTTTATAAATTAAGTAAAATTTTCTTGAATTTTTACATAGTGTTACATCGATCAACTTATTTTGTACATCTTGTCCGGAACAAATTTCTGACATTAATTTTATCCTCAGTTGACTAGCTTAGTGGACCGTAAAAATTAAAACGACTTATTTGTCAACTAGCAACAGACGATGAGGCTCTGTGGGATTGTCGATTGATTTGCCCTTTATATATCACATAAAGTCAAAAACAACTAGAAAAACCTTAGAAAATATATTCTTAAAACTAAAATCATAAAAACCGCACTGCGGATTACCTGAGATAGCAATTTTGCTTTAACCAACTGCATGATACGGTAAGATAAAATAAAGAATTATTTTTAATCGTAATATTTATTTTATTTTAGTCATCTCAATTCGATCACGAGCGAGCTTTCCGCATAATTTAATTGTGAGCAGACAGAAAGAATACGCGTACTTTAATTGTGGCCATCATAAACTTTTCTTAGCATGAACTAACCAAGTAGAATCACTGCACTAATAACGTATTTTCTAGTGAACTCATATACCCAATGTTTTTAGTTTTTGCAATCAATTGAGTTCTTTCTTTGATTTGCTCCGGTTGAGGAATATCATCTAGAGTTTGAGAATCTATCAAAACCGTGCGTAAATAAATCTCCTAGAAATACGAGTCTTCAAAAGCCTTCAATTATGAATAATGCCAAGTCAATGCGTTGCTAATCATCTCAAAACCACTTCGAAATATAATCTTGTTTCATAATATAAATTTAGGTAATGTCGCCCACCGAACGCTGAAGTGAATCGGACTAATCGACTAGCATGTTTCACTATCAGTCTTGAATATTCCGATATTTGCTTGTCTAAGTCTTGCTTAGAGGCCATGAAATGAACGACTACAATGCTTCAACTTACTAACTAATGCTTATTAATATTTGATTCTATATTTATCTCATGTTGTAGGCACGAAAATCGTACACAATTTTTATTACAAAGATGGCAAAGATTCCCATTCTACACACAGCGATATCAAATGGTTGCGTTGTTTCTTGATTCCAAATCATGTGCAATGACATTGTATGTTCCCCGTTTTATAAGTGAATACACGGCCATGTTTCCTTGTGTTATATTAAAAAACTAAATCTGCATAACTGAACCTGGATATGCAATTATACTTTGCTTTACAATTTATAATTCTCAATATTTTTTCTTTTTAAAGGCATTGAGAACTACAACAGATTACGAGAATGCAGGGAACTTCGTTCAGAAATATTATGGCTAAAGTGGAAAATGGGAATTCGGGAAAATTTTAATAATACATTTATGAGTGATGTATCTTTTGGCAAGGTTAGTTCAACTATCAACAGAACAATTTTCCGAGATCTACAAAACAACAATCTTTTTCCCACGAAATTTACGATATGCTACAAACATTATTTTTTGTAATTTATGTTTATTAATTAGACGCAAAATAGCTCACTTTGCAGTGACATGCTGTATTTTCTTAGTTGCAAAGTTTGGTCCGATATTAAAAAACATCATTTTTTCAATCCAATTTAAACCTTGCGTGAAATGGCTTATCCCCAAATATATACATCTTAAAACTATTTCATACTAATATCAGTGGTAATCATATCCCTGACGTCTATTAGTTTTAATTTATATATAAATTTTTTATATTCAATCTCCTATATATTTTGAGGTCATTGTTAATGATGAGCCTGTGAAGAGTATCTCGTTTCGTGGCTCCCAGAAGACAAATTCAGTAGAATCCCCTCCACCATACCAAGCAATGGAAGCGGTGGTTTCCAATAGTGGTGTGAAGCAGGCCAATCTCGTTACTGTTCAGAAAAACTTGAGCGTCCCAATTCAGCCATCTAAGACTTTAAGGTAAGTTATTCTACATTAGTTCTGTGCGAGAATCCACTCCACCTAACCTAAGTAAAGTTTGGATACATTGTTTGATATCATGATGCGAAAACGTGGAATTCCATATGCTACGAGCGGCTTTGTTTATGTCTAACTGTAAAGCACGTATATATAATTGTCCAGACCCCGGGAACAACTAGCAGTTTGTGATAGTCATTCACGTTATAACCCAATTGTAGAGTGCTTGCTGACCTCACTAAGTTGAAATTGCATGTCGTCCCGATTCTTCACTCCCTCGCCGATCAACTGAATCCCTACGGAGAGTGTGTGATAAATTAGGCATCCATTGTCAAACCTAAAAACTTTGTGAACGTAACAGTAAAAATATAACTGCTCTTATGTTTAATCGACCCAGGTAACTATTGACAATGAATTTTTGACAGACATTTTGTGAGAGCTAATATTTTATCAAATAAATTTCCGCTTCATGATCAACGAAAAGTACTTTCCTCTCAACATAGCCCGTGTTTCAGTTTTTTGGTAAATACTCAAAGTGATATAGGACTCCTTGTATAATTTGTCATTTACAGGAACGATCCATTGGCGCTGTTTGACAAAGATTTATCGATGTCAAATCTCAATTCGCAAGTTCGACATTGCATGGCAAGAATCAAACGACTGGAAGACGTTCAAGTTGAATATAAAAAGTCACAGGATTTTTTAAGACAACAAATGCATCCAAGATTTGCTTTGATTGAAAATTTACTAGAAGTCAGTAACAAGCAAAAAGGTTCGTATGACGATAAAAGTTTTTTATTTTAGTTATTAGGTAAACAGATAAAGAAATCGCAAAGATAGGAATTTATTTTGTACATTATTTATGTTGCAATTGCCTCACTTATCCGTTTTCATCTACGAGCCTTCTCAAAAATCATAATGAGTCGATAGTTGAGAATATCAATCGCGATTTTTTTTTCTATACAAATTCCACGAGTACTAATCTGAAAATATGTCCTAATGCGCCATCATTACTCTATATAATGATGAAAATGCTTTGTAATTGTAATCGAACATTATTTTCATATTTTTATTTTCATACGAAGAATGTACCATTCAATTACAATGGCTCTTTATGGTAAAGGCTATTCAAATGATGATTTGGGCCGCATTTTCATCTTTATTCCTAACTAAGAGTCAATCTGCGATTTCTATTTCAGAAATCTTACCAACATTCTCTGCTTTTCTATCGAGTAACACAGCAATTGAAATTTACAAAAACGACGAAACTCCGAGGGTGGTATTTGACGCAATCATGCTAAATGAAGGTTCTGCGTACGATCAGAAAAGTGGTAAATTTACGTGTACTTTGGAAGGATTGTACGTATTCCACGTCGGGGTTGTTATGACGCCTAACAAAAACCTCGCAACTGCTCAAGATATTCTCTATGTCGATTCTTCTACTGATTCAACTTGCGCTATAAGTCTACGGGTTAACGGTCAGAATTTGTCCAAAACGACGTCAGCAGTCGGTGAAAGCACAAACTTGTACGAAGGATATGACGTCACGGGTGTCCGGGACAACAATGGCGTTACGCTTTTTGCTACCTTGGTCACGAGATTGTCGAAAAATGATATAGTCGATGTCACCAAGTTACGAACTTGCACAATTCGAGGACATAAGACAGCCATGATATCGACTTTCCAGGGATATTATTTACACGACTGAATCGCATTTGTCGAAACACGTTATAGCTAAGTTCGCATCAATGAATTATATTCCAGCATTAGGCACGAATTCTTGATGCAAGAAAGAACGTTTATAAGATTCTTGTATGGGCAAATGCCGCCGCCAATGGTGGATGTTATTTTTAGGAGGTTTCCAAGTTTAATGAAGTAAAATCTGTTGACGAAATCGCGTTTCAAAGTAAATCCTATATAAATCTTTTCGCCCTGTCCCTTTTAATGATATTCCAAATCGATTCGTGTTTTTGGCCATAATATTGTTGAATTTTGATACAATTTATTATACTTTGATAACAATAAGATGGGTGAAAAAATAAAGCCTGACTTACGAAATTTGGAATACATATGTATACAGCTAGTGTCTTTGGAAATGAATTGTTGTTATAATATCACTCGGTATTATAAACTTGGCTTGACAATTCCCGATTCATTAAATTGAAGTTGTGGTTCAGAATGATAGTGAAATTGGCGAGGGTTCTGAATTTTTTTACAGTGTAGTATGTATTTCCCCGATGAATAATGAACGGCGTGTTTATGATAAACATAAACAAGCAGATCGCACGAGAAAAATGTGACTTTCATTCGCTCATATTTTTTCACAAACCGAGTCATCAATCTGGTTCTTTCCGCGCCTTTCGTGTGACAAAGATAACCATTTACAGAAATTTTACTGTTTATACAAATGTACCGCCCCTTCCTCGTTAGATGTTTAGTGTAAACAATCGCTACTCTGAGCATTCCTTTATTTTCTATTCCATGTGGTAAGAAGAGAGTATTAAAAATCTTTTGCATGAAAAATTTATGAGATAGGGATCCCGTGAGGCGATATTTGTCTGTTGTAAAACTTAAATTGCGTAAAATTGATTGTATTATGAAGATTTTGTTCTGGATTGGTAATATTTGGAAGTTTAAACGAGGGGATAATATGTAATACGTTTATTTGGATTTATGTATATGCCAGTCAAATGATCAATTGAATTCCTGGATAATGTAAGCTAACAATGCGTTACATTCAGGCTAACATTTAAATCCATCCAAAGGTCTTTCAAATGCCACATACTGCTTTCCTTTGCCATTTACACTGACACGATGCTTTGATGTATATGCTCACAGTTAACGAGAATGACCCAGTATAAGACATTCAGTCGCCCATGAAGTATATGCAAGGACTTAGGGTTATGTGGAATCTCAAGACAGCCTATTGATACATAAACAAAAATATTTAATGTAAACAAGAATTTTTCATAGATCACGAAATACGAACATAACAGTCACGTATGATTAGATAGATGTATCGATAGCGTATTTGGTCGATACCCACATTCCAACGGTACCACAAACAGAGAGTGCAGAAAATTCGGCCGAGAGAAACGTGAAGTGTCATTGTAAAAAGACAGGGGGTGAAAGGTCGGTCACATGCCTACCTAATCTTAAGTATTCTGGGAATTGAAAATGCGATCAGATTTGTAGTCAGGATCATTCCTTTTGCATTGGTTTTTAGCATATGGGAGGATTATACAGCGTGGTCACTAGAGAAACAGAAAATTTGTAAAACTGTTATTTATTTTTTTCAAAGAATAACTTTTACAAAATTTTTAAATGCATATGCTATATTACACTTATAGTTGCTCAAAATTTCGTACGTACACCTTTATGACAGTGCAACCTAGAACCTGGAAGAAATGAAAACATATCGAAAAAGCAAGCACGTATTTTATTCGTGATCTCATCTGATCTTCAAATTTTCTGCTTTTCGAGCGACCATCCTATATTTAATTCAAATCTCTAAAGAAACGGACATGTGAAGCCTTTTGAAGTCGCTCCAAACGGAGGTCCAAATATACCTCGAGTTCTTTTTTCGTCTCCCACTGCAGCGTTTAATGCTATTCTAAACGCATTTTGCACTCCTGTACCACGTAGAGCCGAAGTTTCAACGTAAGTTACTGCCCCAATAACACTTGCGGTCTTGATTCCTTGAGCACGAAAAATCGGTCGTGCACTGTCGATTTTTACCTGAAGGATTAAATAAAACAATATGAACAACTAACTTTTTTTTAAATTGAAGGATTGAACATTTATAATAGGCCGGGGTTTCTAAATATATTTTAGAAAAAAAGTTTAAGAGGACTAGGTTGGGAATTATAGACGTTTAAAGGTTGATTAAATAAACCAAATTAATGATAGGCATTGGCTGTTCTGAGTGGACTAATGATGACATCCGTGGTACATTTATATATCGGTCGCTCACCTGATCGTAGGTTACTTCATCTCTCAAATCAATTTTTGTGCCAACCAATAGGAAAGGAACTCCAGGACAATACTTTTTGACTTCTTCAACCCACTTTGTTTTGGCATCGAGATAGCTCTGTTGTGAATTAACATCGAAGCAAATCAAGACAACGTGAGTTTCTGGATAACTCAGAGCGCGAAGCCATTCATCGAGTTCTTCGTGTATTGGGTAAAGTTCCACGGAGTAGACTCTACCGCTCTTCATCATGTCAACTTTGTAGTGCCGTAAAGTCATTTGAGTGTCAATTGGAAACGTTCCTTCAGCAAATTTGTAGACTAAGCTTGCCTGCCCAGATGCATGGTCGCCCATTACCACGCATTTAACAGACCTTCCGGAATATGACATGATGTGCTTCCACGATCTATGTACGATCGTACTAACAAGCCGGCTAAATTTGGAGTTACTGATTTTGTGAGAGATTGCTAAATTTGTATTCAACTTACGTTAAAAAAGGTTTGAAATCATTACTTGGGTTTGAATGTAATACAATTTGGTAGTAAAGTAAAATAGTATAACAAAATTTTCTATGGCCATCGACGCTGTTGCGTTGTCATATATGATTTCTGCATGAACAAGCTTTACTTTACTCTAATTTGCACCTTAATTCAGAATAGCCTAATTTAGCTAGTTTTGGATTGCAGTAATATTGACGTCAACTGCAAAACAATATTGCCAGTCAAAGGAAATGATTTTACTGATTTTCGCATTTGATGAGTAAATATTGGTGACAAATATTCCGATTTCAAATCTGTTATTGAGCAAAAGCAACAACATATCCATTCATTAGTTTGCACTTCGATTGAACAAATCTTGAAGTTTTGTTAAAATTGGAGTGTATAAAACAATTATTTTTTCCAAATGTTCACTGAATTTTCTCAATTCAACCATCAAATGTTGTCACGTCAAATTTTCGAAGGCACCAGACTTCAGCTGCCAGACAGTATCCGAACGGTGATCGTTAACACTTTCTCGCCAAAATCGATTGTGCGACAACAGACGAGACCGGGAAATCTATGTGGCGATGGTAGCGTGATCATTCGAATTAAAATTGGGGGTAGAAAGCGGGTTCCAGAGATCCAAGCAGTGTTCCCTATAAGAAAATTTCACACTCCGCAAATGTTGTTTTTACTGAGCAAGACTATTTTAAGGCTGAGCAGAATCCTGAATTATTTGCAAACTCTATGAAAAGTTACAATAGTAGCCTATCATATATTATCGGAATGCGGACAAACCACACTATAATAGCTTCTCCTGTACTTAATGTTTATATAATCTCAACATTCTTGTTGTTAAAATATCATTGCTTCCATCAAAATAGGGTATAAAATTTTGCTTGTCTTATGCTCTGCATGATTTCCTCTTTGGCGACAAAGTTTGCTTCACCATGCATGTGGCAATTCAATGTATTTCGACATACGACTGTTTTCTTACTTTGCGGGACAATATTGATGAATTCAGCTTAACACATGGTAGAACACTATCTATGTGAGGCTTTATTTTTCTTGACGGGGTTTTCCAAACTTCACTTTCTTCAGCGGTCGGTATTGCGGTGAAAAAGATCGACCTTCTCTTGTACCCACGTTTCGCTTCTAAGTTAATGCATCTAGTGCGTTAATGTGCTTATATGATTTAAATGGCGTTTTAGAGTCAACTTCCCATTCCCACGCACGATTTGCCTTTTTCAAATCACTATCAGGTGCCACTTTCCGACAAACTTTGCAGAATATCACATTCCTTGACGCGGAATAGCAATAAATTTCGCAAAGTTTAGCATTTTGTTTTTTAGCTCATTCATACCAGTTTCATAATTTTCCCATTTTTAGTCTTGTTTCCTTGAATATACATTTTACTCACACGCCAGATAAAGAACACTAGTATATTGGTTTTGATTAAAATGCTCAACACTCTTTTCAGTCATTTTTGGTGAAACATACTTATTATTATATAATCATTCGGTATAAGCTCATGTGTCCCAATCTCGGGATTCAAGCAAATTTTCTGTAACAAACAGTGGGCACATTTAATAGGCTACCTATTAAAATTCTATCTTCATCTGTGTTAACTTCACTACGGATAATAACCAGAAAGATTTGGCGGGGTCGACAACACGAAATTCAGAGCGAACGATGAAAATTTCAAAATGCGACACTTACCCAGCTGACCGCTTTGGCGCTGGCATACAGAAATCAAGATACTTGAGCGTGACAGACACGTGTGTGACATCACAATGAACAGTGGTCATCAAAATTCGCGTGAAACATAGAATAAGCATTTTAAATAAGCGTTAATAAAATGACATATGAGCCACAATAAAATATCAGCCACGCTCCAAAAACGAGATGTTGCAACTGCGCGAGAAGGAGATTTTACTGCGCAAATGTTCTGGTGGTACTGCGCAATTGCTCAGTTGCGCAGCTTAGTGGGAACCTTGGATCTAAGGGGGGGGGGGGGGGATATAGAGGAATTGGATTCCAGGAAAACACATTCATATCTAACGAAAAAATGTCAAAGTAATCGGTTTAGCAACTGAAGATGAAAGCAATTTTTGTTCCACCAACAGCATCGTTTACAACAAGAAACGCGTGTTCTATCGCGAATGGTGGCTTTAGGCCAGGGGTGGGAAACCTTTTTCGGTTTGCGTGCCAAAATCGGCTAGATTTATTGACATTGAAATTCTTCCGCGTGCCGACCAAAATTGTCGAGAGATGTTACGTCATAATTTATTTCTTTGTAACTGTGAAAGGACGAAAAGGGTTGAATTAAATAACGGATTGTTTACAAACAATGAATAAACGAACGCCGAGTTTCATCAGAAAATTCAAAGTTTGGAAACTTTTTATTTGAAGGAGAATGATCTCGTTTCCGAGGCCTCGCTCGCGTGCTGAATAAATGGGCTCGCATGCCAAGCTCGGCACGCGTGCCAGGGGTTGCCCACCCCTGCTTTAGGCAAATCATGAAGCCTAACTAGGCCGCACTAACAACAATACAACAAAACATTGATGCCATTATATAAAAGTTCGGCAAGTGAACGACATTCCATTTATAACTATTCTAAACATATATAAGTCCGCCAAATAAACGTTTGATGCCGCATCTAACCTTCCCATTCTTTTTAAAACGCCAACTGTGTGTTGCCATCCGCCATGCATATTCACCATGTCAATATAAATTCACGATTTTGAATGTTTATTATATTATACATGTAGTTGTATTTGGTGTCCACGTCCTCACTCTCAAACACTGATATGTGGAAACCCTTCGAGATCTCATTTCAATTCGTCACGTTTTGTCAGTTATCATGTCTGGGCTTTCGTAGAATATACACTCCAGGTAAACTCCATTGCCGCCATGGAGCACCCGCAGGTAGATTTGTTGAGAGGCGGTAAAGTGTAATGTGCAGAATCAATTGTTCTCTTGTGCGCATAGCTCCTATATTAAATACAGCATCAAGATGTGTCTTAAAACCAGAGAGCTATTGCCCCTGTGCGCCACTTTTATAGGATGGGACAATAACAAAACTGACAAAAAGCGCAACAAGCATTTGCGCCGCCACGTCAACGATGAAGAATAATACATCGGTTGTTGGTACAAGTTTTGTACAGTATTCATAACTTAATCTTCCGACATTTGGAATGAATGAAATCGATTTTAAAGTTGCCATAAATCCTGATGCTTTTTCAAGGCGACCTTTGTGCAAACATAGTTTCAAATCACCAAGCGAGGGTCGAGCGTGCTGAGCCCCCCGGCGGGTCAGAATCATATATAACCGTAAATCATGCCAAAGTATCGTGTTTGCTTTCAAAGTCGTTTGTGCTCGAGTCATAAAAAGATAGACTACATAAAGTTATCAAGTAAAAGGGAATGTCAAGGCGTAATATATAATTTGGAAACCGACTATTACGCAAAAATAGCATGTGAATTTTGGGTGTATCTGTGCTTCATATTCGTGAATGATTACCGTTTATATTTACTCTTGTCGCCTTGGTTATTTACTTTGACTACGATGTTCGTCTGGTTTGAATATTGTAACATTTACACGATGCCTTTCTGAATGATATAGTATATATTTGCCACTGCAACGGAACACTGACGAAACTGCTTTAGTTTATTCGGGTCCCAGACTTTCTCACCGCGTGTACTCTTATACACATACCATAAAATCGCAACTATTCAACCCAAAATCTAATTTATGTTCTCAAGCAGGAGAGAACATATACAACTTCAATTTGCCAATGATATAACTTGCTAATTTCATCTGGTGTCATATCCATTGAATTTAGAGCGGACCCAGCTATATCTACCTCTGTTTGCACCTCGCTTTGAAGTTTACTTCCCATACCTGTGACAAAATTCCCAACTATTATAAAGAGTACAATACATAGAAGTATTTTGATAACAATAAGGAAAACCATGATTACATTACAACATTACATTATCATGATCACAATAAAAGGCATACCGGTATATGAAATTTTTAGAAAAAAGATTAAAATAAATGAATTAGTGCAATCCTCATTCAGTATTTGCATAAATTTTGCCAGAAATTATATTAATAAAGTTCCAATTTCTTTGCAGCAAGGGCTACTGTGCACCCGATGAGTCCTAGGTATCCAATATTTCCAAAACCACCATAATTACGTTTCTCTGGTTTTCCTGAATAGTATCCTTTAGCATAAACAACGCGCCCCAGGCACCACAAGAGGCCACAGGATGCTGCAAATCTCTGTATGTAAACAATATAAGTTGAGTAGATGAACCACATACCAGAGGTCTTTTGTTTCAATGTGTATGGTGCTAATTTTGGGAGGAATATTTTTTCTATGTTCATACAATTTACTATAACCTGGGTGAGTAGTTGAACATGAGGCTAGTTGGGTTCAACCTTCTAACCGCTCTAAGCCTCTACCACCAATTAATTCGGGCATGAGGAATAAGATCACACCTGAAGTTGAAATCGTGAATTGCATTTTTAAGATTAGTGTTGATGAGGAAATGTGCACAACTAACCAAACAGAAAAATGTGGTCGTTTTTATTGGACTACAGATTAGAACTCTCATACACCCTCTTGAAAGCTATATATATATTGAAAGGGGTAATATTTGTTATATTGAGATATATGAATCAACAATTACAACTACAAGCAATACATTTTTACAGCCTCGCTATACAAAAGGCTGTTTATCTATATTTTCATTTGATTTGTCTTTTTACACCCTTCTGTTATTTGATGGTTGTCAATAATGCTGGATGGTAGCCTCAAACTACAAAGTAGAAGGTGCCAGTAAATACAATTCAAAGAAAAGACATGACAAAAAAGAAGTCAACTTACTGGTCTTTCTAATCCAGCAGTAGAAAGAAAGAACAAGAAACTCGGATAAAATTCAAGAGTATTTTGGTGGGCTCTCTGAATGCAGTTGAAGGTATCTTCAGTATCGCTATACATCCTTGGGTACTGAAAATGCATTACATATGAATATACCTATATGAATCATCAATTAGAACAAGCCATTACTAATGAAACTTGAAAATTCCCTATTTCTAATCTAGAGAACCCTGAAATCTGTACCTACGGTATAACAATTTATTCTTCCTGCACAAGACTATCAGATCAAGATTGCTATTTTTAGTGGAAATTCGTTTTGAATTCCATGCATTCATTTTAATGTATATAAAGATGTTAAGATAATGGCTACCTGGTCTGGTACAGTCCATGGTATTTTTTGGGGGAAGAGTTTTGAAATTTAAATGATAACATCTTATTAAAAGTATGGAAGTTGATTTTAAGCAGCAAACTTCATCATAAATATTTCTAGCACATCAGGAAATTTTTCAAGCCATAGTTTTACTAGTAAATGTGAATATTGATTGGGACACCTTATTAGGATTACAGGATTAACAGAGTTTTAAATCACTATTTTTTTCATGAATCAACTACAGAACTAGCCTACTGCAAAGATTTTGCCTTGATTCCAGCTTTAAAAAAGTCTAGAATCTGGAATTAGTCCTGGCTCCTGATCCTAACTTTAAATTCACATCAAATTTACTGCAGTACTGCTTCGGTCTGCTGGTTGTGAAGTTAATAAAGTTCCCAGTCTATTTCCCCCTGTTCCAAAAATCATAGATTGGACTTACAGGAACTCCATACTTTTTTCTTCCATCTGCCACATTCTTTGCCATCCACATGCATGTTCCCCAACTAGCTGTTGCTGCGAGGAGTACATATCCATAGTCTTTAGGCACTGAATTCATATTGCTGTACCGGCACTAATGATGAAACTGCAGATAGGTGTAGCCTATATGTTATCTTAAAACAAGTATATACGGTAATAGAAAGTTGTAGGCTACTGCTATAAGTTATAGTAATAGTATACCGGTAATCGTATCATTGTATCGTCAAAAACGGGATACAGTTATTATACCGAGAGCAGAGTGTCGTTCACCTGTCGCATTCTTGCGCTATTACCGTATAATGACCTTCTTTTACAATTTCATCCGATTAAGTACCTAACCTGTGACCCCCACGATGCGCTACAGCGTCTCCGATTCTTGTTTCGTAATAATGGCTGAACCAGCTGCAAGTTTAAGCATGACGTAATAATAGAAAATAAACCAGCGCAGAAACTTTTTATTTCTATTCCTCCAAGCGTGATGGCGTTGATTGTCCTTCACATTTGGAATTTTTCGGTTTAGTTGGAGTAATCAAAAGACAGACCTCAATAGACCAGAACAAATTTTGTTGTCATGCATTTTATGATAGTAGCTGCTTGAATATTTTAATACAATATATTGATTTTGAATAGATTTGACTAGAAACACTTTAATAATATTAGGAATAGGATTTACATATTTATCCCGAGGGAGAGGAAAGCCGATAAGACGGCTTATCCATATGGCGAACCACGGCCTCTCGTCCGGTTACCATTCCAAGTCGGGTATGGGATTAGTTTTACTGTATCGTTTGTTTTCGGAAGCATGGACTTGGTGGTGGAGGAGGCCGTAACCGACCAGCGGTTACGTGAACCACCCAACGACGGCGAAGAGTCCAGCAATCCTCTCGCACATAACCATCCCTGCATGGGATTCGAACCTGCGAACCCATGCAGAGTAATTAGAGGTGCGGTGGCGAGCGTATTCCTAACGCTTAGCCCCTTGAGCCACTCCGCCGCGCATTCATTGAGAATTGTGTAATGGCAAAATTTGATGGACTCGGCGGTTGGTGCATCGTGCTAGGCATTTGAATTTCGTGAGGTTTAATTATTGCAAGATGTCTTGTCGTGAAGCAAATGGGCTTTTCTAAGTTAGCTCCTTAGTGAATCTATTCAAATTATTTGGTATCTGAGCAATATACGGTACACTGCTCCTACAGCATGTCACTACTGATTACAATTTTGTACTTGTATAAGAATAGAATTGTATTCCCACAATGGAAATGTAACGTCTTTATCACATCCGGAATCACAGTATTTCGTTCGGTCACATATGGAATTAGCTACTAGCTTATTGTTAGGATAGGATTTACATATTTATCCCGGGGGAGAAGAAAGCCGATAAGACGGCTTATCCCTATGGCGAACCACGGCCTCTCGTCCGGTTACCATTCCAAGTCGGGTATGGGATTAGTTATATTGTTTGTTTTTTCGGAAGCATGGACTTGGTGGTGGAGGAAGCCGTAACCGACCAGCGGTTACGTGAACCACCCAACGACGGCGAGGAGTCCAGCAATCCTCTCGCACATAACCATATCTGCATGGGATTCGAACCTGCGAACTCACGCAGAGTAATTAGAGGTGCGGTGGCGAGCGTATTCCTAACGCTTAGCCCGTTGAGCCACACCGCCGCGCCAATTGTTCCAAATGCAAGGACTTGAATAGCGGAAACAAACGGGTGATAGTGAACTACCCCGCGACTTTTAGGAGTTTTCTTTAATACATAATGATTCGAAACGTGGAATCAACGCAGGGTCATCATGGTAAGATGGCAAGTGTATTCCACAATTCTAACATTCCTTATTGGTAGTTAGATTGTAAATATATACTACTAGATACGCATTGTCTACATTCGCTATTCTATATATTTGTCCCTGTCATTTTTGTCTGGCATGTACGAAACGGGTGGGATGAAGTCTGCGACAGTATTCACAGAGAACCTAATTTTTGTTGCACAACAGCAACAAAGTATGTAACTATTTCCGATGATATTAGGCGGCAAAGAGAGAGCGAGAGAATTTTTTATTGTTTCGTCAAACCAGAAAACACATACAATATATATATGATAGCAAAATGAGAAAAATTAGGTTTCGGTAGATGACAGGGTGGTAACGATACGACCATTAACAGCCATCTGAGTCGGTTACCACCCAAAGCAAGCACATGAATAAATAAATTAATAACACAGGTTCTGTAATATTACACTCTCAGGATATACATATGGAAAAAAAACTATATACACTATGGAAAAAAATGATATCTAATTAGAGATGAGAAAAGTTTCTAATCGGGATTAGGAAGTTATTTAAATAAATTTCAAATAGAGAAGAGCAAAAAATAAGAATTCCATACCAAATTTATTATTATTTATTATATTAATTTACACTTTCAATCTGTTCTGAATCTTCTTTTGTGCCTACACATGATAAAATATGAGGGATAAGATCACAGGGAAATTGAAGGTTCTATGAGTGACAATAATGTGTTGTGTGAAGAAAACCATAGATTGAGATATGAATTATAGGCATAACAGTAATACAATTTTACATTTTCAATTCATTGGGGTGAAGAAAAAAAGCGGGATGCATATGGAACTTCTGCAAGATTTACACATTACTACGCAGAACAGGTATTAAGATGGGAAACAATCAGATTGGCATTGCAACCCTTCACAAATAATTTAGAAATAGACAAATATGACTATGAGTTGAAATAGATATGTGATATTAAATAAATTTTGACAAGGCTGGGTCAAATTAAATCACGATAGCCCAAAATATAATTCGTCTTGTAGTAATTTTTTAGACATTACTACGCAGAATAGGTATTAAGATGGGAAACAATCAGATTGGCATTGCAACCCTTCACAAATAATTTAGAAATAGACAAATATGACTATGAGTTGAAATAGATATATATGTGATATTAAATAAATTTTGACAAGGCTGGGTCAAATTTAAATCACGATAGCCCAAAATATAATTCGTCTTGTAGTAATTTTTTACACATTACTACGCAGAACAGGTATTAAGATGGGAAACAATCAGATTGGCATTGCAACCCTTCACAAATAATTTAGAAATAGACAAATATGACTACGAGTTGAAATAGATATGTGATATTAAATAAATTTTGACAAGGCTTGGTCAAAATAAATCACGATAGCCCAAAATATATTTTGTCTTGTAGTAATTTATTGCATACACGAGGTTTAAACTATTAGAGATTCTGAACAATTAGCAAATTTGTCTATATCACTATTGCACATTAATTAAAAGAATATTGATCACATTAAATTCATTACACAGTATAATACTACATAAATATAGATATTAGATCAAGGCCCTCCTATCCTTTGTATCTAAATTGCAAGTAAGATGAGCAATTTTGGGTTACTAGTTATACATATATGGCAAACTAAGGGAAGGGATAGTCAAACTATTGTATGTCACAATCAGAAGAACACAATGTACACAACTACGGTACATTATAATATAAACTAAAATTATGACCCAGGGCAGTCTAGTTTCAAGCCATTGTAGTATGAACCCAAATTGGATGATATGAAATGGGTGATATGATATATCACATTGTAGCTAAATATGTACTATATTTAAGACTACAATAAGATTAGCACCTTTCACATATTTTGTATATCATTTTCTTAGGAATCAACCAAAGAATATATATAACAAATGTACATGTTAATTTTATACTCCAACAGTATGATTCATATTAAATAAAAAGCGACGATAGCATATGGTTACTTAGAATTATTAGAACGAAGCAATTACAAAGATCAATTGTAAAATGAAAAGATTTTGCGGTATACATTAAAATAACCCGGTTAGTATAGTTTATAAGCATAATAAAACAAATATTTGAATGTACACAACGGGAGTGCTTTATCTACTAATTTTAAGGCACAATTCAAAGCAGTATAATTACGAGGTTGCAAACATACACATGTATATAATACAAGTGAAAGTCATATGTGAGGTAGTCACTATGTTAACACCATAATTGGTAAACGTGCAATAATAAGAAAATAAATGTTGAAAAGAAAACTGTGAATATACTATACATGAAATGGCTTATTACATTCTACTGACAGATATACAACTCGATTCTATTTATAGAACTAGCATTTTCTGCCGTTTTCTTCTGGTGTAAACTTTAAAAAGCACACTTTAAATGTTGTTACCGATAATATTGTTCAGTCATGACCATACATGAAATGGCTTATTACATTCTATGGGATAGAGATACAACTTATACCAACATAATTTCAAATTTTGCGACGTAATGGAAAATAAATATAAAATAAGAAGCCTTGCAAGAAAATGGCCTTGCAAGCCTTGCAAGAAATGAAAAAAAGAGTCGTAAACTAATGGTTGTTTTCGGAGAATCGACTTTCTTGCTAACTTTTTTTTCATTGAGACTTCCTTGTTTACTTCCGTAACACTGACTAATGAAAAAGATGCACAACGTGACGCAATAAAAGATGATTTAGCAGCCGCTCAGGCACTTTTGTCTTAAACGCGTGCTAGTTTTTCGAATGGATCCATGATCGTCTCTTTAGGAGTTTTAGTTTAATTGCAGTAAGCCAGTAATCAAAAGTTTGTCTATGAATGTCTGTGATAGAGTAGACTAAACTATTCTACCGGTACGGTACCGTACTTTTAAATGACACGTTTTTAAATGTTTTAAATTGAATTGATGGTTTGAAACATAGAAACCAATTAAATGCGCCAACTCGCGAAATCACTCTTCTACGTTTATACACGATCATCGTATGTCCACCACTTTTCAAAAAAGAAGAATTTATGTTAGACAGCAGGCGTTTTGCGTGATTACTTTCGACGAAATTTTGTAAGTCAAGCGGATGACGGAACGTCGATGATTCACTCCGGTCATGGTTTGATACACAATGACGACAAGTTGTCGGCTAGATTCACGCTGTCGACTGTTTATTGCAACCTTTTACATAATCTTCTCAGCGAATAAATTGTAGTTTGTCTAATACAGTGGTAAATATTTTATGTAATATAATAAAAAAGTGAATCAAGATGTTTGATAATATTTTATTTATGTTATTTTTTATTATAAAAAAATATATTTATCCCAAATACACACAGATTCAGAGATTACGTACTTATCCAGAATAAAGTATTTAAATAGATGCTCAAATGGAATCCAGCAGGTTTGGGTCAATCTATCTATAAGCTGGAAGAAAATTCTAGCGAGAATTCATAATTCAATAAAAAATAGACTTGGATTCTATAGATTATAGCTATTATAAGTACGGTACCTGTATGATACTGGTGGTAGTTTATTGAAAATAAGGAAAATTACAGAAATTGCTACACTTTATGATATGTCAGTAGTCTATCTACATTACACAAAAATTCAATTTAAATATTCCAATTGTCTGGTCAAATAGTTGGCAATATGAACTCCCTAATAAGTACAAAATTCTAAATTGGAAAATTTCACATAATGCTGTGATGACCTACCTACAGATGACAAATTAAAATATTGGTTTGTTGATGAAAATGGAAAATGTGTATTTTGTAATGAAAATGAAGAAACCTTAATCATTCAATGTGGAAAATCAGCCATGGGAGTTCAGAAAGGGTGTCAAATATGATGATGTATTCCAATTGCAATGTAACTTGCGGGCTATTTTTAAATGTAAACTCCTAGGTGTAATCAGATTAATGATTAATTTTGAAAGAGAAAGAGTGATACTTGGTGAAATTGTGGATGATTTACTACAAAAATCGATAATGAGTTGAAAATAAAGAAATTTAGATTGTCTTGATTTAGGAGGATTATCTACATAAATGTTTGTATAACGTATTTCGAATTTTCTGTCTAATATTTTGAAATCTTCTCTTTTTCCTTGCTAATATAAAATAAATTAATATTCATCTACATTATAATGCTATGCATTTGATGGAATGTAGACAATGTTTTCAATACAAATGGATATATTATGATATGGATCTTATCAACATTGGATTTCATATGTATAATTAATTGTTTATACAACTGTTTTATTTTTCTACAATTAATTGGAACTCAATACATGCAATTGGTTTCCAAAAAAAAATGTAGCCTATAACAGTATAAAACAAAAATTGACAAGTTGATTGGCTTAAAAAAATGTAATTAAATACCGGTAATTCCATATTTGCTATTAAATTCAATTTGGGTAAAAAAATAAAATAAAATTAGACCAGCCTATACAGATTTAGCTAACCTAATCTCAGATTCTGCCAGTACATCAGCAGCAAACAGACCCAATATGGTCTGAGTACAGTGGACATAATGCTTAGCGTTTTTGGATTACTTTCAGACCATGACTGTAGAAGGTCAGCAATCATTTTGTACCTACGGATACGGACATAACCTATTTCAAGATGGATATTTCATAGTCCAAGAATATGTCATGTATTCCATTTTCCAAAAATGAAGTTTACCAAATATAGCTATACCGAATAAACTAAATAGCAGAAATTTATCATCAAATATTTTAAAGCAATGAATATTTATTTACCACCAGATGCCAATTTTTAACCATTGGTATTTCACCCTTCATGCTTCCATTCACAAAATGCAGAAATGGAGATTTTGCAAAAAAAAAAAACAGTGGCATCGTGATAAATCCCAATTATTAGTCATTGGTATTTGGTCCGTCATGATTCCTTTTGGAAAACGGTAGATTTTGCAAAAAATAGTGCTAAAATGATAGAAAGTACTGGCAGGCGGTATGTGTTGTATTTGTATCATATTGGTACTATTTGATGGGTTCTGTGTAAGATGTAATACTTACGATTAGTCGTCATTTTAAATTCGAGGACATGTGCAGTTTTAATGTTATTTTATAGTACTCTTATTTTTCATGTTATATTTCATACAAGGCAGCCATGATGTGAAGGCCCATAGTTTGGGTCTATAAGATTTGATATGTAAGATTTTTAGTGTGCAAGTGCAACTAAATAGAATGCTCAACGTTTTATACACTTCTCCTATTTATTCTCACATATTAATCAATTGTTCCCATGAAGCTCCATGAATCTTATTAACAGTCTGCTTTATTAATGCTTAACTCCCTACCATTGAAATACTAGAATGTATTCCTCTTGCTATGTTGTAACTTCCTTTTGGTGTATTATTACTGGCGCCAACACAATGTAATTTGGGCATATTGTTACATTATGTGTGAGAAATATTACTGCATTTCAATATCAGGTTGTATAATTTATGCACTGGCAGCCATTGGTATTCATCATTGGGAATTTCAGAACATTCATTAATGTATGTATTGCTAACAAGTCTGTTGATAACATAATATTATTAAACAATTCTACCAAGTGCAGTCTTGTTGTAAATTTAAACATTAAGTACTGATTTGTTCTATTTAGGAATGACCAATCCCACAGTCCATGCAAAACACATTACTAGAAGTGGACATTTCAAATAGTCATTTACTCAATACGATATCATTTTTTAATTCTATGAATCATCTTGTCAAGTAACATTACAATTTTGTTAACAGAAAATGTATGATTTATGAATGATATGATTTGAAGCTAAATTAAGGTAATCTAATTGGCACCGAGCCAATTGACAATGAACTGGAAACATCTTGTATTGTGTTTATTAAAAAGAAAATTCCTGCGTTAAAATGTATTTCAACAAAGTGTTGTTGATCTGTGGGTTCTTAATTGTTGCATGCTTTGCTGACAAGGATGAATCTGATGATGGAAATTGTACTACTACGACACAACCTACAACTAAGGAGTTAGCTGTCATCGAGTCCATGCTACTTGTTTCGACGCTTGATGGGACATTGCATGCTGTCAGTAAAAGCAGTGGACTCGTCAAATGGAAGTTAGATGATGATCCTATATTGTCTGTTCCCACAGATACCTCTGTTATAAAAGGTCCAACGTTTCTTCCTGATCCACAAGATGGTTCTTTGTATGCTTATGAACCATCATCACAAGACCTTACAAAATTGCCCTTTACCATTCCTGAGCTTGTCCATGCATCTCCTTGTCGAAGCTCTGATGGGATTTTATACACTGGACGCAAGCAAGATATGTGGGTTGCAGTGAATCCAGTAACAGGGACAAAAGAACAAATTATATCAACTGACGAAACTCTTGAAAAATGTCCTGGTGGAAGCTCGTCAAACATATACCTCGGTAGATCTGAATATAAAATGACAATGTATGATACAAACAAGAATGAACTTCGATGGAATGTCACGTATAAAGATTATTCTGCTCATGCAAGAGAAAAAGTAGTAAGGGATTATGATCTTCTACATTTTGCATCTAGCTCTGACGGATATTTAGTAACAGTGGATCGTAAAAGTGGTCGCATATTATGGGCAAACAATTATGGTTATCCTGTTGTTGGTATGTACGTTTATGGCAATGAAGGGGGTTTGGAAAAGGTGACAATGGTTAACATGGCTAAGGAAACATTAATGTATTTATTACAGCAACAAAGTGGTCACATTTCTTTATGGGAAAATATTCTGCAATGGGGTGAGAAGAATTCAAATGCTGGAAAGGAGACAGCATTGCTCCCGTCATTGTACGTTGGACAGTATATGAACAATTTGTATGCGATTCCTGCTATGAAACATGATGGTGTAGGATTGCACCAAGATGTTCTGCTATTGCCAGGGCCGAGAGATGATCACATTTACACGTCTGATTCTACTGCTTTACAAGTGGACGTTAACTTTCCAGCATGGAGATTAGTTGGATATCACAATGTTCCTGGCGGATCAAAAGCATCATTTCCAACATCAAAAGCTGAAAAAGTTCAAAATGTTCCTCTTATAACTGAAGAAAAAACAACTCATACCACTGAGACAAGTGGAGGTGTCGAGAGTCATGTAAATACAGATACACCAGCTCAACATCCCATTCTGGAATTCCAACAAAAATACAGACATTTTGATAGACTGAGATTAATGTATGCTCGTTATCAAAAGAACAAGCAAAATAGAAGGCAACAGCGTCAATCAATGCTTGGTGAGAAAAGAGAAAAAGAAACAATTCCCACAGATGGAACAAGACTCTTTGAAACAATGGTTATCACAGTTTTAACGTCTCTTATCACTGGAGGGATAATATTACTCTTTACATCAAAAGTCATGTTTAACGAACGCAATTCTAGACGTTTGCCATCTGAAGAGGGATGGACTAGAGTAGGTCAAATTGAACTTGATCCATCTGATATACTCGGTAGAGGTAGTGAAGGCACAGTGGTATACAAGGGCAAATTTGATGGTCGAGATGTTGCTGTCAAAAGGATTGTTCCTCAATGTTTTACATTCGCTGACCGTGAAGTTGCATTACTAAGAGAGTCAGACGAACATTCTCATGTAATTCGATATTATTGTATGGAAAAAGATGTTCAATTCAGATACATTGCTCTAGAATTATGCAGTAACACGTTACAGGAATATGTTGAAAATCCGCTCTTTCATTGTAGTGTTGGTCTTGAGCCTGCAGTTGTTCTGCATCAAGCCATGCAAGGCATAGAACATTTACATAATTTAGGAATCGTACATAGAGATGTCAAGCCAAGCAATATTCTCATCTCGTTTCCTAATCAAATTGGTCAACAAAGGGTTGTGATATCAGATTTCGGTCTTTGTAAGAAGTTAGTTGCTGGAAGATGCTCTTTTTCTCAACGCTCTGGTGCAGCAGGTACAGATGGATGGATCGCACCTGAGATGATTGTAGACAAATTTCGAATGACCAGAGCTGTGGATATATTTTCAATGGGTTGTGTTTATTATTATACACTTTGCGGGAAGCATCCGTTTGGTGACTCATTAGCACGACAAGTAAGAATTGTTGATGGTGATCATGATATTGACGATTTGAACAAACAGGAATGTTACTCTGAAGCCTATGATTTAATTCACTGTATGCTGAATGTAGAACCTCATCTACGTCCATCAGCTGAAACTGTTCTAGCTCATCCATTATTCTGGTCCCATGACAAAAAGCTTCAGTTTTTACAAGATGTCAGCGATCGAACCGAAAAGGAACCAACTGACAGTTCTGTGATGGTACGACTTGAAAACGAAGACAATAAAATGGATGTTCTTGGTGATGATTGGAGGAAAAATTTATCGATGCCTCTTCAACTTGATTTGAAGAAGTTTAGAATGTATCGGGGTGATTCTGTGAGGGATTTACTAAGAGCAATGCGGAATAAAAAACATCATTATCGAGAGCTAAATGATGATGTCAAACTCTCATTGGGTTCCATTCCAGATGAATTTTTATTGTATTTTACAAAAAGATTTCCTAACTTATTAATACACACTTATCATGCTATGGCATTATGCAGAAAGGAAAAAATATTTCAACAGTATTATGGAGCCACCGCTAAAAATCACCTATTTTCAGGCTGTCTTCCATATTTAAAACCTGACAAGCATCCATATAAAGCAGTTTTAGAAAACAAAGAAGATATATGGGGTGATACAAACCAGAGAAAACGAAACAACACACCTACTCAAGCAGCTTTGTCTGATTTAGACATGAACTGGCGAGCAAGCGCTCGACCTCGCCAACCAGAAGAACTGGCAAGTATGGGATTCACAAATAATGGCAAAAATGGTGCAGGATCAGAAGCTTCCTCAGAAGCGAGCTTCGAATCAACTAAAAATACTTGGGGTTCATCTAAATCTAGTACCCCTATGAAAAACTCTCCCAAAATGCAGCGTCGTTCAGCAAACGACTTACGTCAACAGTCACCACAAGCAATCTCACATTTAAATTCCGGCGTTCGTTCGTTATCATATGCAGGTATTGTTCACCAAGGAACTCCATTTAATCCAAGTAATTTTCTGAAGCCAGATCCAAAAAAGTCACGTATCAAAAAATCAAACAGAAGCCCAAAAGTATCTGAATCCTCCACCGCCAGTGCTGCTAGTACTGCAACACATCCTGAAAAAAGCGAAGAGAATAACTTATTGCAGAATACAGTTTTAAAAAAGCATGATGCATTAACGGCATCACATACTGAAATAGATGATAGAAGCATCAATTCTGATTTAGTTACGTTTTCACTTGAAGGTGATGAAAACATTGAAACACTGGGGTCGACAATCAAGGATGATGATGACAATCAGAAAGAAACTGACATTTTAGACCAAGAGCCAAGCAGTATGAAAGTAAAAACAGACTTCTTAGATCTTTCCGGTGAATATGATCCCTCTGAAAATCTTAATGAGGAAATTGTGGACTGTGATTGTGCCACAGAGAACGATACTACACCAGGAGATACATCTCTGGTAAATAACAATGAGTTAGAAGTCGATGCACAACCTGACATTAAAAAAACAAAAACGAAAAGACATCGACGGGGTAAGAAAAAAAAGAAAAGTGATTTAACTTTGATTGATTCTAATAATACTGATGCACAAGATTAATATATTTACAGTACATGTTTGTTTTTTATTTTTATCTTTTATTGCTAATTTTGTGCATTTTGCCAATTTCGAAACTGTTATAAGTTCTATAACAAGTCGCAAACCCAAGCTGTTCATATTACAATATTTTATACATTTTGTATTCATGCATTCAAGAAAATTCTATTTGTATCAAATCAACATCTGTATATGACAGACAAATGAAATAAAAATAGAAAACCAGTGAATAAGATCACACGTTAATCTAACATCCAATGACCACATAGCTTATATTGATGGCTTTATATTTCCGCTGTTGTAGTCTTATTGAATTTGGACATTGGACACGTCTGTAGGGAAATACTACCTGTTATTATGGCTGTACTTTTGTACTTATGATGGTTTATTGATGATGATTATTATTATTAACTCATGCAATGTCATAATTAAATGTTCTAGTACATCTACTGTGGTTTCATCAGTTTGTTTCATTGGCATTGTTATCTGTTAACTTGAGGTGCCGATATGCGATGCAATGAGTGATGTCCACTCTATTGTGTCAATGTTAGACTTACCTTTGTACACTCTTGTGGTTCTTCCATTATAGCTCATATACAAAATGAATTCGAAATTATTAAAAAAACATTCAGTCAGGTGAATGACTTTTTTATGAGTCAGATGGGTTCCTGTTTGAACCTAAGTTGAATAGTGTTAAATGAAAGTATAAATTTCTGGATCTGTTGTGTGTTATTGGAGTTATATATCATATTGTTTTCAAAATATTTAGGCTATTTCGGAATTTGTCTAAAAATGTTGATGAGATAGCATGTCCACAGTTTGTAATTTGCAATTGTATATTTTTGTCCTTCCTGGCGCATCCTTTTTCCATTGTGTAATTTTTTTTAATTTTCTTGATTTGTTCGATACTATATATATATATATAGTAAAATAATGTCACTTGCAATCGATTCACAGGTGTCTGTGTTTGTTATTTTCTATTTTTATTGCTGAAAGTAGCAATAATATGAAAGTGAATTTCTATAATATATACCGTAAATGATTTACCGTAATCAAAAATTCATAACAAAGGTAGGATTTGTTAATCAAAGGTTTATGTATGTGTCTTTGGGCCGGTGCATTCTCATCATCCTATCTGTACAAATTTGCATCTTGATAGCTCAATTCCAGTAGCCTATTGTAGATCGCATATGAACTTGAGATTTATGAAAATCCCTTTTTGTTTTCATCTTTTTGTATTGTGCTCAAAACTCATACTAATTCTGTATGTCTGCATTTAATTCAAAGGATATGGATTGTACTATTATTTGATTTTGATTAATTTCTAAATGTACATATTATGAAGGCATTTAGATTTATTGAAATTTTATGTATTCATATACGATACGCACATTTCCTATCGAATTGAAATTAGGATAGTTATTTTCGATAGATCATCATGTAACAACAAATCCATTATTAAGTGCTCTTCATATCATCAATTGCAGAGGAAACTACGTAATTCAAATTTTGTTGAGTGGTTGTATGGCCCTTTTTATCTTTGTTATGTCTATCAGATCACTAGGTTTCATGGGCTATTAATTTTATTTTCATCCTGTTGAGTATGTTTTCATATTGTTTCTTCTTTGCCTAACAAATGCTTGCTTATGTAACATGGGAATTCGACATACAGTTTTGCGCTTGTTTATTAAATATGATGCCATTTCTAAATACACATCTAGCTGTATTATGCATTGATGCAAACCTATCTGGTTTCAGTAGCTGTTCCTCTAGATGTGAGTCTCTTTTTGTGACACTGTTTCAGCAAATTCTCTTTGAAAATGTAATTAGGCCAGGGGTTTTCCATAAAAACGATACACTACATTTTTAGAAATTAGACTTTTAGTTTTGCATTGTTAGAATCTTAGCTACACCTAATCTAACAGCTGCATTATTTTTTAAGCTGAAATTTTCTCCTATATTTTTGTTCCTCTGCTGAAAAAATAGTTGGTGATTGACAGTAAAGTGTAATATTTTATTAATTATTATTCTTTACTCTTTCCATGTATGGCGAATAAATAATAAGGTAACTATATGAGTGCTTACACATGACAATCAGTAGCCAAGTCCATTATTGCTGGATTTGATACTTTTGTTTCAAAACTTATAAACAAGTTTTTTTGTGAAGAATTTAGACTATTCATTCACAGTTTATTATCCTCTGAGAAAATTTTGAACATGTTATTGTTTAAGTACCACACTTTTGCTCAAAAGAAGACTCCAGACAAGTGGTCACTTCCAATCTAGTTTCCATTCAAAAATAAATACGTGGGTTCAAGACGATGAAACTCAATAATATGTTGTGACACCATTCCTGTTTCTTTCATTAAATAAGATGCGCTGGGTCATCTATTGTATTTTCGCTTTTCAACAAGTTAAGTATCATCTTTTGCATTCCATAATGCTTGCAAAATGAAAGAATAAGTTTGAATTGCAGATAAATTGCTCTTTTTTTGTGATATGAAATTATTGTACTCTCATTTCTTTATACATCCATATTTTGGATGCTCAATCTAAATATTTGAATAATTTATAATATTTGTGTTTTATATTGAATTGCGATTTAAATTTGAAGTTATTCAAATAATTTCAAAGAATGTTTGCATTATTTTTACAATTTGCTATTTTTTCAGTTCCCTACTATTCTCGGTGACTGGATGTTAGTTCTGGTTGCCTATTCGCTATTTCTTTTATTTTCTTGCCATTTATTATCATGTGCCGTTTCAAATGGATTTGAAATGTTGTCTGAATTATGCTTTTTTACTTTTTTCTCTTTTCTCTAGGTTATATTTAATATAGGTTATTATAATGTATAGGAATTCATGTTTTTAAATCAGCGTTCATTATCATGACGTCGCTTGATAGTACTGAAAAGACAATATTATTCCTGCAAGAAAAATGTGATTATGCTTTTAATGGTCAAAGGCCTATGGCTAGTTTGCCTATATTGCGAGAACTACTCACTTTAAAACCGAATTTTTGGGTAAGACTGAAAACTCAATTAAGAATATGTGAATGTCTAATAAGGATACATTCTCCTATATTAAAAAATGATGATGATTTTGAGATTACAAAAACTCTTGATTTGATTACAACTGCACCTCGTGTTGGCGTCAATGATATGATTGAGCTCGCTAATATACATCTTCAAAACAATTCTCATTTGCAAGTAATCTTGTTGTTTAATTGTGCATGTAAACTACACCAATTAGATTCTCCTCCTAATGATGCAGTAATTGGAATAATGGAATGTTTTCGAAAGATTCGTGAAAGTGCAATTAGAACTATTGATAGCCCTAATTTTCCTGCAACAGTAGTATCAATAGCCATGCGCATGATGCATTCAAGATTGGATAATTTGAGAACAATATGTGATGCTGATTCTGAAGTAAGAACAGAAACTGAGGTTATTTGTATGAATAACATAGCAATGATTCTTTCATCTGACGATCAGAAAGCAGAATCTGAAACTTTTTATGATAGAGCTTTGAAAATAATGTTAGATAAATTCGGTCAGCGTGCTTACCGTTTTTTCATTTGTTCTGCTTTGCTTCATAATCTTGGTCTTGCCAGAATGGCAGAGGATGATCTCGATGCTGCGGAAAGATATTTTGAACAAGCACTTGATGCGAATGGTTTAGCTGAAAATTTTCCAAATGAGCTGCAAAAGGTACAGTGGAGACAGGGCTCGGAGATAAACTTACAGTATGTCAGGCAGAAAATTAGAAGCTTTGCTTCGAAAAAGGGCCGCGGTGGTGGTTAACAAGATGCTCTTTGCATGCTTATCTATATCATGGAGCAACGTACTTTATTGTCATTTTCATCGCTTGTTTTTTTAATTTTACTCTTTGTAATTACTTCATTTCCGTTGATTAAACTTCAATTTCCTTACTTTTTTTTAGTCAATATAATCGGCCATGTATTTCTATCTATCATAATCATTTCTTATTTTATTGTGTTTGATAATAAACATGAACGTTGATATATTTTAATAAGGTATAAAGTTCTAAATTACCATACTACGGCAGTTATTGCAGAATAATTGTTTTCAAAAAATTATCATTTAACTTCCATTGTTTTGTCGTTCTTGTCTCTTACTTTTAACTACTTATTCAGTACTACTCATTTGTTTTATTCCGAACTCAGCAGGAAATTGATTACCATTGCAATGAAAAATGCACTGATTTGACTTGACACCTTTGAGATTTGTCATAGCTTGAATAACTAAAATTATTTATAAACCCATTAGCCATATGAACAAAAAATTAACATTTAATAAATAAATTTATTAAAACGTTTCATATTTATAAGGAGAGTAGCCTATATGTGATTATGCTAGTAATAAGCTTCATTTTCTAATTTATCATTTCTTGAGTTACGTTTTGTGGTATAAAAATCTTTTATACAATTCATAAACCTGTGCTTTGTTTGTGTACCGATATGCATTTTTTTCTCCATTTTCCTACTTGCTTATAAACTAAGAATAATTTCTATAAATATCTTCCTAATTTTAACCGTTGATTGTACAGCATCATTCTTATATTCTGATAACTTGTAATCGAAATAAAATATGATTGCAAATTTCAAAATCCGCACTTTATTGAACTAGAAAACTGTGCTTATATCAGAAGTGTGACCTATGTACTAAACATTTTTGCATACATCAATACTTCTGTCTGGGGTTGTCTTTTGAATCTGGTCCGAATTGGGTCGCTTTTTACGGAGCGGAGCGCATTTACAATTATAAAAATGCTACCCTTATTTATATTTCTCCATTATACTAACTGTGAAGTTTAAAAAATGTTAATATATGGTAGTTCCTGTGTTAAAATAAACAACAATGTAAATACCAGATTATAGTGCTATCTATGCACTGGTAACTCATCGAAGTGCAAACTATAGACAAGTATATACAATAAATAGCTATGAATATATATAATAATGCAAACCCATTGTCTATTATAGATCAATAATCATGTAAATGTTTGTAAGCCATACAAATCATGAGTAATGAAAAGAAGAAAGAATTAACCCAGTCTGAAAAAGATTCAATTCTGACTAAAGTACAGAAAGACTTGCCTGATAAATGGATTGCACAATTCTCAAAGAAACATAAGAACAGAGTTTACTTTTTTAATACTGCAGATGGAAGTTGCACTTGGGAGCATCCAGGATATGCTGAAGGTTTTGTTTAAATTGAAATCCATGTTTGCTTTCCCTTATTTACTGTTGTGTTTCAAAGTGTCTTTATGCTCTGTGTTGCCAGTTGAGGTGGTGATTTTATTAAGATTTATGGGTACTCCCGTAGTATTTGTACCAGGTTAGGGTTAGGACATGATTTATTCCGATTTTCCTTATTTTAGTTCTATTACGAGTTCGGGGACTGTCCATGTTAGTCAAGTGAATATCCCCCTGCCTGCCCATAGGTTTCAGTTCCTTTACACAACTTGATGTAAAATAGGCGAACAAAATTACGGTAGTTACCTCCATATCGGTACACATACTTCTGGAGCGCCGATTTATAAGCTACTACAGTGAATGACATTACATTATTTATTGTGTCAATCGGATATTCAGGATAAAATTTTGTAATTGTTTATGTATGCGCTCTCACTAATTTGAGTTTTTCTCTATGGTGTAACATATATTTTGGTTTTCAAGTTTATCTCTCTTACAAATTTTGGTATCAAATAATCAGCAGCGAATTCTTAACATTTTATTAGAAAACTTCAGTGAATAAATTGAGGTATTTCTTTATGGAGGCTCTTTCTTGGCAATATTTATTTCACAGTGGTTATAGCAAATTGAGATGCTCTATATTTTCAGTAAAAAGTCAGCCGAAGAGTCGAAAACGTTCTGGTAAAAAGAAAAAAAGGAATGAAAAAGTGGTACACAATGATGTTCAATCTTCTATGCAAGATGCATCGAAGAAAAAAGAGACAAAATCTTATAAACAAGTTAATGCTGTGTCCAGTTCAACAACAAAATTTCATCCCTATTTGAAAACGGAAGTTAAATCATCAATAAACAGACGTGCAATCAGTTTGGTGTCGGAAAAATACACGAAAAAGAAAAAACAAGAAAAAAATTTCAATAAGAGTCTTGATTCATCAAGTACTGCATGTCAAACGTCGGATTCCAAAAATGCAGAAAAATTTGAGCATGTTGACAAAAGAAAATCAATTGAGAATTCATCTGGTATTACCAAGAACTCCTCACACTGTGAATCAACTGAAACCAGCATTCGAGATGTTGAAATGTTAGACCTCAACATATCACCACCTCAGCTTCCAAATTCAATAACAAGTAATTCTGATGACCATTGTATTCAAACAGGTAGTTTATTTTTTCCTCTGTAGAAATAAAAGTGATGAATACTATTTATTAATGAATTCAAACTTTCTGCTTTCTATAAACTGGATTAATTGCCTCCTATAATTTCAGTCGGTATAAAATGCTTGGTGTTATAGACTTCAAAAATTATTTTATTTGTTTAGTTTTCAATGATATCTTTACTGAAGCAAAATTAAATTTCATACACTACATGCAAAAATTGGGAAGCTGGGAATTGTTGATTTCTTAGGAAAGGTTATACTTTTGTTGAGCAATAAATATATAGTTTCATGACTGCAATGAATTTAACAACTTCCAATATCCTTCTATATATTAAAATTTTGACTTTCTCACAACAGATAATCAGAAATTTTTGACCGTTCAATTATTTGTCATCCTTGATACCAACGTTCTTCTTTGCGGCGATTCTTTAAATTTCCTAAAAATGTTTGTGGAGCGAAGAATGTTTGAAGGAAGTTCACAAAAGCTTGACAAAACAAAATTAATTATTCCATGGGTTGTCCTACAGGTATCTATTCTACAACTGTTGGAATATACCGGTAGTTTATAAACAACAACCACTGGGTTTTGTTTACGACTGCAATAATTTGACCTCACATTGAAAATTGAGTGATTCAATATTTTTGTCTGAGCGATTCGGATAATTTACTATTTGATTAGAATATTCAATTCAAAAGGCCCAGCACTAGTCGCGGCCTGGTTTTCAGTTCCAGTTAAAAATAAGTCTGCAAGCGAGTAGACTTGCCTACCATTCCAAATGATTTCACTATACCTCAAACATGTGCCGGTACTTTTATATAAAAATAAACTTCGTTTACGATTTAATATAATAAGGTAACTGAAATGATGCATTCGACATGTTCAAATAATTACTGTACGTACAGGCTTTCTATATCCACTCTTGGTGTCAATTTTATATAATTACTAAGTAGACAACTAGGAAGGTACTATTTTCAAACAAATATAGAACGACATTTCATTTGTTTTTAGGAGCTGGATCATCACAAGAAAAATAAAAATGCTGCTCGTAATGCAATATCGTTTTTAAACAGGTAAATTGCTAAGACTTCTTATTCATAGATAAATATAACATTTCATAAATTAGTTTTGTTTTATTTCAGACAATTTCAAACGAATAAGTCTATTGTACGTGGACAAACTATATTTGAAGCTGCAACTGTAATAGGTATGTTTTTGTATGTTTCGCACCTTTGTCTGAACGAGGCTTTAGGCTGTGATATATAGAGAGCTACAATCTTTGGACGCTGATATCTCTCCAGTACTGAATAACCTACCCAATTCATTAAATGCTTGTGGTAAAAAATTTTAGAATCCAAAGAATTTGACATGTCACCCGAACATAGTTAGGTTCAGGTACTCTGACGACAACCCTTGACATTATAAAACTCCAGCCAATTCTTGCTTCATTGTCTCATTCAGCTACTATGAAGGACAAATTCACATTCAAATTTTGGTATGCAATTTGGTGGGTTACTTTTGTGTTTAGGTTGATTGTGGGTTCATTGCAATATTGATTTTAACATGCCATTTTGCCCCATTCATGTCTTGCAACCATTATACAGAAATTTGGTTGAAGGATACAGATAAATTTGTAAGAATGAAGTTTTCATTCAAGATATATGAACAAAAATCTGTTTTAGTGGAATGAGATTTTTTACTCATAGTCGTTCAAATTGATTTCAGATAAATATTTTAGCTTATTCATCCATAATTAGGCACTTTGGAGATTAGATTTCTAACAGCGTTGAGATAAATATTTATAAATGAAGTATGGATACTCCTAAATTCCTAATATATTCTGGGGATGTAGAATGCTTCATTACCAAGAAATAGTTTTCATTTACCTCTATTTTAGTTTTTAGCTCCTGATATTTCACAGCATCTAATGTATTTTTACAGTGCAGTGTACTTTTTTTTAATTTCCACATTCCACACCTATTACTGGTATCCAAAAAAAATTTTCAGACGGTTTTAATATTGAAAACAATGATGATAGAATTCTTCAATGTTGCTTTTCAATGAAGCAGTCATCCAATGATGACAATACAGTGTTGGTTACCCACGATAAAAACCTGATGAACAAAGCATTGGCAAATCATATTATGTGAGAAACTATTTTTGAATACTAGTATTTTATTTCGTCTTATATTAAGTGTTACATGGACAAGTCCATAGACATACTTGGTACGATAAGTCAATCAATTTGCATAGAAATTCGAATTTGCTTATTTGAAAGTACCAGTATGTTTTTTGTGATGTTTCCAGTTTTTTCCTTTGTATTTTTCTTGCAAATATACACTTATAGGCGCTCCAGAAGTGTGTGTACCAATATGGGGGAAAACTAATTTAGTTCAGACAGTCCCCGAACTATTAATAGAACTAAAATAAGGAAAATCAGAATAAAATTATGGCCTAACCTGGTACACACACACTATGGGAGGAGTATTCATATATATATATTCAGTTATCACCACCCCCGTGTAGATGAAGTAATTCTGGCAAGTTTTGCTTTTCCTATCTTCAAGTCGAGCGCTTTTGACCTTTTCTACTTCAAAGAAAATAATTTTAGACATTTTTAACGTTTTTTTGAATCAATTTTAGATGCATAAACAATGTCAAAGACCTTCATAAAAGCATTGCCAAAATGAAAAATAGTACCGGTAAGTATGCTGTTTTGTGCTCCCTTTCTTATTACTTATCGATCTTAAGATCGGTAAGTATGTTAATAGGTATTTGTCTGTTTGTTTGTCTGTCTGTCTCTGTCTGTTAGATGCACGCGATATCTCACGAAAGCGAGGTTGAATCTGCTCCAAATTTTGTATGTGCATTCATCATAGCTCGGACCAGAAGTCTATTGATTTTGGATAAATTATGTCCTATAATTAGCGAGTTATTAATTAATTAGTGATGGGACACACGTGTCACTATGGAGTAAGAGCGCTGTTTTGGGGGACCCCCTAACTTTCGATCGATAAGTCTTCAATCTCCGACCGATATTCTCGTTCTTTCTATCAATACGTACAAATCTGATATATAAATACTGATACTCTTATTCAGCATCGCTGAAATCATCTACCGAACCTGAAATGAAGAAAATAATAATGATGAAGAATAGGCAGGATGAAAATAACAATCCATCTTCAAGTGTTTCACCGGAATCATTGTCAATATTATCTCCTCTTGAATGCAGAAATATTTATAAAAAGAATTGTGCACGTGCTTTGTCTGCCTTGACATTTATTTTGGAGAAGGAAATGAAAGAAGCTTTTGATGATTTGTGGTTGGATATTATATTAAGGAAACCACCTTGGACATTGACTGGTAATTTTTTTATTTTTTGTTTTAATTGTTTTTACACTGATTTGCGAAGATTTGTTAATTGTAATTCAAAATACTAATCATCTCAAGACAATAGGCTGAAAAATGAAATTTTGAAACAAATTTCAGACGAAATGCTCTGAATATGCCTATCATGATTGCTAATGAGCCTTCGCAAGTAAATTTGGTGTTTTCTCACTCATAGTCACTGGGTACCTGGGTGCTTTCTAGTAGTTGCCAGCACAAACATTTTGACCTTTCAACCCAAAGTGATTGAAATTACTCACACATACCAGATTAAACTAAATTAAAAACACGTTTTGCGGGCCGCACACCAATGAAAATAGGCACTTCTCCGCCACCCGCACAAGTTTTTCTTATGGGCCGCATTTGGCCCGCGGGCCACAGGTTGCACACACATTCACTAGACCATCACATCTAACTTTGCTCAATTCGGTTTTTGGTTCGGTTAAAGTTCTACTCCTATCCATCTCTTTTGTTTTCATTATCAGATGTTCTACACTGTGTTCGAAAGCATTGGCTAGCTGTTTTTAAAGTGATGGGTGTTGATCATATTCTACAAGTGCATGTAGAAAAACTTCTTGATATGCAGCGTTCTTATTCTGATAACAAATCAGAAGATATCAATTTTGTCTCTGATTGGTCAGGAAGTGCCCTCAGTCTCGTTTCAGGCATTAATTTAAGAGGAAAATACGATGAGCCTGTGAAAAACGACTTGCTACAGTTACAGGTAAAAGTTACTGAATGATTTATTCATATTGAAAAGATGAACAAATTGTTAATTTGAAAGTTTGTCTGCTCAAGCAAAAGGGGGCACGGTTACTGACTAGTTGGTGTGTGATAGATACCATAAAACAGCTCCTGATTGCCATCATCAACAGTTTATGTAAATATCTGTTGCGATGGTATTTAAACATGTAATTTCAATCCAATTAATGTGTAATTTTTTCAATTATTCTATTGTTAAGAATCTTCACAAATCCCTCAAGAAGAGAAAAATAAATTATTCTGAAGATGTAAAACATCACAAGGAAGACCACAATGTTGAAATGGAAACTGTTGAAACTAATTCTATTGATTTTTGGTCTGCGCTGAATATGGTAAACTCTTATTTGTATGGATAAATATTATTATCGATAGAGGTGACCCATAGCTGGTTCAGGTAGTGAATCAAAAGGCCGGAATTCGTTACCACTTTGTGTGATTGTATACATGAAATATTGGAACCTTAGAACCAGTTTGACATGTTCTTATTGATATTGGAGTCCGAACTGAAGTTAAATTTCAAACTTCAAATTCTAAACTAAGTTAAATTTTTGATAGAAATTCAAAAAGTTGGCTAAGCATTACCAACATGAAATTGAAGAATGTGCAGGTTGAGGTTTTTGTCCAAATTTCAACACATGATGCTTTTCAGAACAACTTGATAATACTTTTCGATTATTTATACAGCATGTAGTGCTACTAAAACTTCTTTATGTAATTGAATGATAAACTGTTAAATACATCTGCAGTGATATGATTGTTCGTGACGCAAAATATATCCCAAAGTGTCTGTTTGCATTCTCTGATCTTTTTTCTACAGATATGGACTGCCATTATTTCTCATTGTGGAATGATCTTTCAAAGTCTTAGTTTTTTACCATCACATATGAATGATGCTCCTGAAATATGTCAAGCTTTGTCTGCAACCTTTGACACAATACCTGAAAAAACTGTTGCTGCTCGAGCTCTACCTCTCGTTACTGATCTTGTACAGAGTTTGCAATTCTCTCTGCAAAGGTAAAAGTTGTTTTACATAATATATCACCATCATTTTTAGATTTTCTTGTTCAATGAAACTGGGTATTGATTTTAAACTTGTTAGTATGAAAAATTTATTTGTATTCGAGCGTTGATTTTAAATGAGATTTGTATAAAATGGTGTGAAATATATAATATACTGAAAATCACTGCATCATAGAATATGGAATTTGCAATATCTATATGACAGTCATATTTACAGTTTCATGCTTAACTGATGTTATATTATAATACAATAATTTTATAACTCAAAACACTTAAAGAACTATTGGGTACAATAATTTTGTAATATTATGTAGGGTTTTGAAATGTGTATATGTATCTATACTTTTTATTGGAATACTTGGATGTCACATCAATATTTCCTTAATTTTGTAGACTTTTCAAGTTGAAGGGTAGCTATACGGATGTTTTCTCAGTTCCAAATATTTTCAAGGTCAATAGTAAATTAATCGGATTTGAATAATAAATGTTATGTATTTTTTTAGTATCCTGACATTGCCAAAGACTGATACAGAATGTGATATTATTTTTTCTGATTTACTACACACACTGTGGACAACTATACAAGCTTTTTCTATTGATTGCAACATCCGCCCGCTCATTAACTCTTATAAAGAACTTAGCAAAAGTATTGTTTTATCTGGTGAAATGATGGAAAGATTAAAAACTGGATTTCAACAGTTAGAAACTGTTAAAAATCTGCTGCATGAATGTATTGCTGCAATTTCAAGTAATCCAGGCGCCTTTATTGTTTAAAAAAATGTTACAATTCGACACTGAATTGACATAAAATATAAGTGTGCTGTAAATTTGATTAGAACCGAAACTGATTGAAATAATATTATGCATTAAAATGTTTAGAATACTGATATGTCTACATGTTTTCAATGATTTTTGGAGTTGAGTTAATTCGAATTTTAAATGGTAAAGATTTGACCTATTAGAACAGTTTCGGTTATTCAGACTAATGGAATGCAGTGCAAAAATGATATTTCATAAAAAAAAAGGTATAGTTTGAATAAATATATTTTGGAGTTTTTGGGTCATCTGTGAACTTATTTTATTCAATGGTATTAATTGCATTTATGGCAGAATTTAAGTAACAATTCACGCAATTTGAAGATGTACCATACTGTGCCAGAAAATAATTTATAAACATCTTATTGTTTAATAGAAAATAATGACCGTTGGTCGTATTATTCTAATGTTGATTGTTATTTAAATTACTTCTTTTGAATGCATATGTGCGTGAAACTGCCATGATTTCGTTTAAATTTATATATTTCTTCCAGCTGCAACATTTCTTTATTTTTTTCTACCTTACCAGCAATCTGGCAGTGTGAGGGATGGAACCGAGGAGCCAAGCCGACTGGCCCTGGTGCCAGAAATTGAAATTTATTTTTTCTTGTGTGATGCTGGTGCCTATGCTAAAAGTTATTTGCAACATATTTTTTGTTATACTTCCGTTTATATTAAATTTCATACCGATTTTGAGGATATCTTTGTGTGGGGTTTCTTCATTGTGCGCAATTGTTGCAGTCTACACTCTACATGTACTTATTTGGTATGGAATAGAGTAGTTCGGGCAATTGGCTTTCCAGTTATTCGAAATATGATGCCCGAGAAAGGCCGTGGTTCGCCATTTGTTTAGGTCGGTTTCATCTCCCCATGATAAATATAAGTTCCTAACTCGTATATTTCAATCTAGAAATACATACGCTGCGCCCCCAACAACCAGACAAATTTGAATTGGTTTTATGCGATAATAGGAGTTTAACAACATGACGTACCGCAAATTACACGCACAAAGTACATTTAACTCGAGCCTCTGTGTACCGAGCAAGGTACAGTATTTGTCGTATGACTCTTATCAACGACCGAGAATTAGTTGTGTCAACAAAAGCGAGCGAGCGAAATCCTTGGTTTTACTACCACATTGATTCCGATCTCCTCAATTGTTGGCAACGACGTAACAACGGCAAAAACATTATTGCGTGTTATTGAGAAATTATTGAGCGAAAGGATCTGTGAGAATATTTATCGTGTTGATTTTGTCGATTTTCTGTATGGGTAGCGCCTTTAATAACTCTTTGTGAGAGATCTCAAATTCAGAATAATAATGTCAAGGCCTAAACTTTTACAGCTATCGCGAAACCCAGGTGTATGCCTAATTTTATCGATTAACTTTCAGGCTAGACCAAGGAAGTGCAGACTACATTGTAATGGGGACTTATAACTCTTTGCGGGAGATCTCAAATTCAGAATGATAAGGTCAAGGCCTAAATTTTTACAGCTATTGCGAAACTCAGGTTTTAGCCTAACTTTCAAGTTAAGCCAGGGAACGTACAGACTACATTGTGATTGAGGCAATGCGTCTTTATGTTGTTTGATCGAGTAGGTTTCGTTAAAATGATGATATAGATTAATTACTGCTTGTAATATATAAACCTAAATTTACCACCATGGGAAGCTGTTGCTCGTCTAATCGTGCTGCAACCGTGGGTGTTGATCCCATTCATAAGGCAAAAGATCGGAACAACATTACAGAAAATACAGGGATATCAAACGGGACCACAGACCCTTTAAAACAAAACAAGGGTGAGTAGTGATTATTGTATAAACGCTCGATTAGTAATGGTATAAACTGATTGCTTCAATAATCTATCTTGACTTGAGAGCAGTGATGAGCTGTAGCAGTCACGAACGGAACGCTGTTCCGGTTGTTGGACATTATATTGCGTTTGCGTTTCTGTAAAATTATGGTTCGAAAAGTCTAGTTTCTGCGGGAAACTTAGTTATTGATTGATGTTTTGATGCATCAAAATTATTTTCCATTACAGCTGGCAAATAATTAGCGCACAGCAGTAACGTGTAATGGATGTTTTGCCGACCTTTGACCCCCGTGAAAATTCATTCAATATCTATCTAATAATAACATTTGTATTGAATTAGTATGAATATTCTTCCAATTTCAAACAGTCATATTTCGGATATTTTTTTCATATTTCATTGTAGTTCTTCGGCTCTATCTCACGACAGACAAAATTACCGGTAGCGTCACGTTGTAAATATATTTTACATTTTCACGAATTTGGTGCGTTCCGGTTGTTACGATTTTTCTAGCTCATCACTGCTTGAGAGTGCTATAATTTCACGAGAGGTACATGGGATTAAAATGTAGTCTTTATTCCAATTAATTTCGAAAAAAAAGTAAAATTTTTGGACTACAAACTTGGGCATTCATAGTACTAAACATAGACTGTTACATTTATGTATCTTTAAACGTTCCTGTTTGAAAAGTACGTCATTACCTCGAGAAATAATTTGGGTCAAGTACTACTAAGTTCCAATACCCCTAAATATTATGCTTTGTTTCAAAGTTTGATTAAATAAAATGACGATCTTTTAAAATAAAAATAATTAACCCATCACATCAAAAAACACAATATCGCAATTGTGTGTTTGGGATTGATGTCTATATCTTCATGTCCACACCTTCTTTATATTTATACCGTGAAAATGGAGATTGTTGTATTTAACTGACGTACTTCAGTGGCTGGAAGGTAATGACCTGACCACCTTGAATTACCCCAAGCCTCCGGAAGTGGACTATTGTTAGCAATAGTAATACCAATTCAAAACCTTCCCAATATCTTGTGTTATAAAACAAATTATTAGGGCATTGATATCTCATCACTTTAACCCGACTTGCAATTATCGTGTTAAAATATTATAAAATAATCATGATACTTATTGTTTCTTGTACTTCTTTTATGTTGCAGACAGCGGCAATATCAAGCAAAATCCGAGTTTTACAATAACTCCGAAATACACACAGGGAGTTAACGCTCCAATTGCGGCACCCACGCATGGAAGGTATACTGCTTCTTTTGTTTTCACTTCACTGTTAACGCATCTAATATTTGACCAATTCTCTGTTACTTTCTTTCAGGTCTGGCAGTTCAGATACCAAAACATCCTCAGCGATATTCCCAACGTCAGGTGGATATAAAAACACTGATTCACGTCAACAACATACAAATGAATTATTATCACCAAATAAATCAGACGATATCACATTATCAACGCCGTATAACAATACTGACCACTTGAGGGCATCACCCTATTTGTCGAGTCTAAGTAACAGGAAACAATACAATACAGCAAACACAGATGCGAATCGATTTACGGGTTTCGATGCACCCGTAGCAAATACGGATTCTGAAAACGATTTCGATTCTGACATTGAAAAAGATGTAAAAGTATCGCACCAAGGTGAAGTACGGAGTCCATCAAACGTTAGTTTATCTTCTTTACTTGAGGAAGAAAGTGGCAACGTGCCAAATCCAGGTACGATATTCAAGTTTGAACTAGTTAAGCTAGGCTAGGAACTAGTTAACTATTTTGCCTATGTTTTATCCCTCGCGTATCCTTGTTCAGAGAAGATGGCTTCTCGCAACATTAAGTGTTAAGAGAATTTGCTCAAAGAAATGTCGAGCGCACTCATTCAGAGGTAAAGAAAACTCATCTCCGAGCAAACTTACGGGCTTCGACTAAAATATCTAGAGCTGCTGATACCTTATAGAAATATACTGGTGCATTACACGCTAGGAAATGTCAATTGACCGGAAACTTGAAATCAGTTTAGAATCGATTGGTAAGAGAAACAACTATGGGGTGACGAATTTCACATGTATATTTATTTGCTAAGTTGTTATGAAAACACTTTATGATTCAGGTTGAAGACGAAAAGATGACTTGCAAGAATCTATTGAACCGAAGTTGCCAGTAGTTCCGTAGATCTAGTCGTAGCGCGTAGATCGTCTTGTAAATAGATACATTAAAATATTTTGCGTTTCCCGTGCAAATCATAAAAACATTTACTGATCTGTGCTTGCCTGGGTAGAAGCCATCATCTAAATCCTTTTTCTTGACATTAACTTTATACATGTCGTAGTTGAGTTGTGTAGCTAAACATAGTTGGTTTGATAGCCTATATGCTTTCGTAATATTGCAGTAGGATACCGCTTGTAGTTTACCATATGCAGTAGTTTCTCTGTTAAATATATTTATGTCATACACTGGGAATGTATTTTTGAAAATTTTTATTTGTAAGACTTATTCCGTTTAAAGTCAGTAGTAGGATAGTGGTTACGATCGTCATCTGATTTGCCTCAAAGGCAAATTGTGCTACCATATGTTGTCATTTTTTATTTCTAAAATCGAATGGTGAAACCGATCGAGGCGCCATGTAAGGAAAATTCGTTAAAATTCTCTAAACTCCTAATGGCAAGAAATGAACGATAGTCTTTTAGCTTGAATTCGATTCTAAAAATTGCACATACCCGAATTTCACCTGATATCGAATGAGCGCCGAAGTTTATTGTGCGCCGGACGTTTTTAAATGGAAATTCAAGTTCAGTAACAGTCGATATTTGCCCACATTCAGAGAACGATATGAAACTATTGAATCTTCAGCGAGCAGAATTTTAATCAAAATGTGTACAGGGTTAACATTCGGATGCGAACATGACAGTTTTATTTGCTGCAATTACTTTTGACCAATTTTGTTTTTCGAAAATTGTACACCCAGCTAATGTAAGGACTGCCGGAACATCTGAAATTCTGGACTCGAGACCAAATCAACAAAATGTAAGAACAAATGGCGAAACTCAATCTGAACAATTAATAATAAATAGTCAAAGCACAGAAAACAAAGATCCCGTGGATGTCGTTGAATGTAAGTTATGATCCATTGATACGTATAATTTGTATTTAAAATTTAATGATAAGCATTCTCCCAACCATTTCCACGTCCTTCAATTCATAACAATACCCATCTGAACCATGAAGGAGAGGCGCAGTTCTTACCACTTCATGGCAGCTCCTGCCACGAACGTACCGCGGCGTCTCTTGCCATGGTTTTATCGCGCTATTACCGGTATATTTACAAAGTCATACAATATTTTTCAGTTTATCATAAGAAATTATATCTACTTAAACCTAAACCTAACCCCAAATACATCAAAACTGTATTCATAAGAAAAGCATTCCAACTTACCCAATATTTATCACCATCAGGGGCAGCCATGCTATTACAGCCGACATGCCGTGGTTACGGCAGCAAAATTGATTGAACAGCATTCGATTTGCTGCCGTAACGACGGCAGCTCGCTATTGGTTTGTGGCAGCTATAAAGTCAGTCACCGTGAGTTTGGTCATAGCGGCCATGGTTTGGAAATCCCGCTATGGTTAATGATTATGCGGCAGCTCTAGACGCCACAAAATACTTGAAACTGCACTTGCTGAAAGAAGCCAAACTCATGGGCCGTGAATGTATCATGTACATTGCGACCAAATATTTTCTAATTACCACCATCGTTGTTATTCCGTATAACTACGGTATTTAAATTTTCTTGAAATGGCTCCCACTCCCATTGATTACTTGCATCTCAACGTTAAATTGGTTTTCTCTTGTGAGTTGTCGAGTGGATACTCTTAAACTTAAAATGCAGATGTTATCAAGCTTCAAAATAGAATATATATATGTAAGAATATAAAAACGCTAACGTAGTTGAATAAAGTCGTTATTTTCCAACGGATAAGATCTTTTTTACTTCAGAGACAATATTTTCGAAAAAGCAGTGATGGCGGGACCAAAATGTATTAGGTCATATTTAATGGAAACAGAACTGAGTTCGTTTTTTGTTTGTTTACAGACACTGTGAAGATGGCAACTTTATCAATGACTACACCAAGGTAAGAATTAACAGCATTAATGCTTGTTCATTGGTGACGACTAAAGGTGCGCACTAACTTTGAAAAGTTCATCTATCCTATTTACACATTCTGCAAAACATCCGGAGGATTAGGGTTGCTCTTAACTAGCGAACGATGAAATGGTCACTACCAATACTCAGTCTAGCAATGCTTTCTAAAACGTACGTCGCGAAATGTCAATCAATTAATTATCTTAAACATTACTTCATATCTGCATACGCGCATTCAGAACTTGACATAAAATGAGCGAATCTGCATTTTCTTATGTACAAAAAAATTCACTATCACACTGATTATGCAAATGTGATAAAACTTGTTCCTGTTGAAATTGAATGCTACAAAGATAAAAATTTTCTCTCGAACGTGTGTTTGAAAAGTTTAGAAACCTCTTTTATGGAAGATTGTTCATGATTTTCAGAATCGAAACCAGTGGTTCGCCTAAGAGTAAAAGAAAATCACCTACACCATCACGGAGTGGAAGTCCGAGGCCTCGTTCGGAACCTGATCCTATCATGGAAACGTTAGAAGATGCATTCTTCAGATTTGCTCGGTGTGTAAATATTTAGTATTTTTGGATAACATTGTTTGCTTTCGCGATGAATTGGACCGACAATATACTGACTATTTCAATGTACATTTTCCTCAAATGTAAGTTTACAGACATTATTGATCAATTCCATAGCTGTGACCCTGTCTACCAATTAGCTGTGACCCTGTCTACCAATTCCTTAAACAACAATGGGTGCCTGGATGTAACCTCGCGAATGTGGGAACCATAACATAAATAGTATGCAAACAGTGTGTTTCATGAAAGGTTTTGAAAGTTTAGCAATAATTGGAACTTAGCAGAATAAGCGCGGCTTGGCCTGTCTCCCGTCATTGCATTATGCTTCTTATAAAAAAAAATACTCCGTGCTGTGATGATCTTGCGTGTTCTTTTCGCGTTCTCATTTTGCTAACTCAAGTCCAATGTTTTAAGTTACGGTGAAGTAAACAGTGAAGGACGTGAGATGAACAACAAAAATTGGGCAAAATTATGTCGAGATTGTGATTTTGTTGATAACAGAACTATATTGACTGGAGACGTAGATGTCATATTTTCGAGACACAAGTAAGTTGACCTACCGTTTTTGTTTAAATCCAATATTCCTACTCTGCTATTGTTATGATTAGTTAGTACAAGAACACAAAGCTATGACGAAGTTTTTTTCATTGCTTTCATAGAAGTAATTCAGAACTTTATGGGTTCTGTTGTTTGGGTCATCCTCCAACATATTGATATTGTAAGCTTTGCCTTGCGCCTGTTGTTACTGACTGTTCTGACCTAGAAATGTCTACCGAAGTGAAATTCGAAAGCTTTGTGCAGACAGGGCTGTGGAGTTGGGGGTTTTCATTGAAATCGGTGTCAAAATTCTGAATTTCTCAGCCTTGGGAGTTAGAATTTCGGACTTTTAATGATAATAAAAGTTAAAATTTTCTACATAAACTCAAGAAGTATTATGCTTTCTAAGCGTCCTTAACGTTTTGTAAAGAGGGATTGCTTATGCATAAGTGTTTATCATCAAAATTTGACTTTATTGGGTCGACGTCCTGGTCTCAGTAACAATCGATTTCTATTTCTATATAATATCTTCCTCAATTCATACAGACCCAAAGGCCAAAGACTGATTGACTTCGATATGTTTGTAAAATGCTTGGAAGAAATTGCAGATCGAAAATATAAAGCGATAACAGATGACAAAAATCGCAGAAGGAAAGTGTTTGAAAACGTAATTGGAAAAGCCCCAGAATATGTTGGAATAACAGTGAGATAGATTTCAATATAAATTCACGGATTTTACCTTTATTTACCAGTCTTTCCATTAGTTGAGAACTTTTACCAATTTTAACGGTTGTCACTTATTCAAGCTTCATTCTTGTCTCGATTTTCTTTCACAATAGACACCTGCTGACTCCCTTACCTTTTATGCCTCGTAATTTTACTCAAGCAGGGCAGGCCAGACTGTTATCTGTGAATGTCGGTAAATGTTGCAATCTATTAATGCAGTCGGTTTCAAATCATACAATATCCATCATGTATTTATAATATAAATCGTAATGTGAATTTGGTCAAGATTTCGTCATCGAAACTATTGGATATCGATTGGATAACTTAATCCAATATTATGCTATAGTTTGACTTTTCTTTTCAACACAAAACATTTTAAGGGTATTTCAAAAACCGGAAACGTGGGACGAATGACAGATCACTCACTTTACCCAGCTGGACATAAAATGAGGTGAGATTTGATCTTGAAAAATTCTATTTCTCCCTAAAATAATATAAATCTACGTATTAGTAGCTGCTTTAGCCTACATAGACTTTTTCGAAGTGAAGATGTGAAAACGCCTCATAAAACCTTCAATTGAATGAATCCATGCCAGTGTTAACTTCGCAACTGCTCTACAACAGAAACAAATTTACACTCCTGCAGTCGTTGGTTGCTTTTTGCTTCCTATCCCGATTTTTCTTTCAGTTTTTCCATTAATTTGAGAACCTATAGGATCTTGCTTATAGTAACATGCAATATAGCTAGCTATAAACCCTAGTCCTTTTCTAATGTGAACTTGATTTGTATACTGCTGTAGTCATTGGTTGCTCTTTGCTTTCCATCATAATTTTTTTTTTAATTTCTTCGTTTATTTGAGAGCTCAGGACCTTGCTTCGAGCACCATGTAAATGTAATATAGCTAGCTATAAGTCATAGCCCTTTTCTCATGTAAATTTGATTTATAATCGGATAGATTCGATGAGGAGGGTCGAGGATTAGGAGTTGAAGACTTGCAGTCCTATGATCCAACCGAACACGGATATGTACAAGGATACAAAGATAAAGATACGTATGATCTCAAGCTATCGCGACCTTCATCAAGAAGTAGTCTTCGGCCGGTTTCACGAGAAGCTTCGAATTTATCCCAACGATCAAACTCCAGACTCAGCCCTCAAAGCAGAAGAAGAAATTTAGACTCTCATTGAAAATATGACAGAAGTTTTACTTAATGTGTATTCTGAAAATTAGCTGACCCTGGTAGTTTAAAACCAAGCAACCTGTACCACGGTTTCAAACTCAGATTCTAAATTTCAAACTTGTTTTTATGGCGGTAATTACAACCTTCACCTAACATAGAATAAGATTTGCTGCTGCCAAAATTCAAGTTCATGTTTAAATTTTGTTAAGTGGATAGAGATCTTTTCGAACATGGAGTTTAAATTGATGTTGCCTAGAGTCGGATTTGTGAATGACATGCCGAGTTGCGATTGAAACCATATATATATCCTTATTCCTGACTGTTACTCTATATCCTGTTTATTTTTTTAATATTTCACTCAAGCGCACGAGTAGTGTTTTATCTTTTAATTAACTGCCACTGTAAAAGTATTTTTATTATCGTAAAAACAATTTTCTAGTATTATTATATATATAGTTACTATGTTTTTTTGTCCGTAATTGCAAGGATTTTTTCACAACGTAATATATGATTTGGAAGCAGACCCCGTTTTTAAATTTCTATATCAATTTAAAATGCTCAATCGGCTTCTCATTAATAACAAAATTACACTTTTCTGTTGGTACTAAAGTGTGCATTAATACTGTTCGCTAATTCCTGATTTACCATTTACTTATATAGATCCAATTTAAGTATTATATATAAGTATTAAGGACTATTCAGTCTCAGTTGTCATAGAATAACTTTCCTCATGAGCCGTTCCTACAGAAGAGATACAAACAATACTGTATTCTTATTTTTTCAAACGTAAGTTACTTCAAGAGTTAGTTACTTCATTCTGCGGGATAACAACATCGCAAGTGATTCTGGCCATACTCCGTACTTTTTTAGTCACTCTGTACATATATATGTGAGACACCATTCAGATGACGATTTTGGCAATATATCCCTACTCCAAGCTAACAGTAGTGGTAAGGAAGAACAGTTTCGGTGTATTTTACCTCCGAACTTAAGCCAGGCTGGAAACTTCAACAAACAATACGGAGACTGTTCACATCATTTGCAAGAAAACAATAAATAGTAGCTAAAATAGTAGAGAATGCATAATATCTCAAATTGTGCAAAGGAAAATGATGACAACCGCCAAAATTATTTAAAACAGGTGGATTTGATTAGAAGGTGCTGACTTGTCTCTTCCTGAAATTCTGTATGCTCTGCTTCAGGTGAAAAAAATTGTTCATTTTCTATTTATCTGACGGCTTCTCGTTTTATTTGAGGCTGTAAAAAAATTTTAGATTTCAAAGGTTTATGCACGAAACATCCTTCATATACATAAAAAGGCGGGCGATAAAAATGCAGATAGCAATGTTATAACACTTCATACGTTCAAGAATTACTGATCGAGAATAGGCAGAGTAAAATACATGCACATACCAAGAGTTACAAACTTAATGAGATGGTATATATTAAAAGTGTGATTCATCTCTATATATTATTACAAGTATATTCAATCAAATCCGGACTACAAACTCACACAATGATGTGTTTGGGAAAACCCTCATTGTTTGCTTATTTTCGATCATCGTTCAAGAACACTCGAGTTGCCTCCACCTGTGTAGTCAAGTGCTTATAGTCTGGACCTCATGGGAGAACTTTTTGAAAAGATAAGATAGCGAGAAAAAATTGTGGATCCAAGTGCGGGGTGGCAGACTATTTCTCCGGTGAACTTCGATCACCAGACATACTTGATTAATGAACACGACTGAATAATAACTACGGACTTGTGGTTATAATATGTCAATGACAAAACCACTTGTCCTTATTTTTTTCGTTTAGAACAAATAAATGTGGATTATATATGAGTTGTTCATTGGCGCCTATTTTGTTTGCTGAAATCAGGCAGTCCCCGTATACCAAACCATTAAAATTGAATAATCTCGATGCAAATTATAAATTTTGACATTTATTATTTAAATTTACAGACATGATTTGCTTGTACAGTACACGATTTCTTCGTTTCAGACTGTGAATCTGTTGATCAACAAGCAATATTGTCATATTGTGCTTATTTACGGTGAAAAAGTAGTCATAAAATAAGTCTGTTTAGGCCTCAACGCGACTCTAACATAATAGAACCGTCTAGCCTATTTTTCCGTTATTAAGTCCTCTTTACAATTTCGTAAGAATCGACGAACGGTACTTTCCAGTGTGTTTATGAGAACCAATTTCACGGTTAGCATAAAATTAAGGTAAATTTGAAATCAAACAAACAAATAAACCGATGACGCTTTTGTGGTTTAGATTCGCCGCTTCAGTTAAAGGGAACAAAGAAAGACAATAATTCGCAGTAGGAGGTGGTCGTTCAATTCATCCAATTATTTGTACATGGCAATTTGTTGAGTATAGAAGTACTCAAACTCGATGATCATTTTTCAGTAATGTGTCAAATGAAAACAAGAGGATGATAGTAGAGCATGTCATTAGGCCAAGAATCGTGTATAGAGGGTGTGAAGATGTCAGACCCTATATATATATTCATTGTTAATTGGGGCGCACACGAATCTGGAATGGCCGAGAGTCGCATGTCAACCAAGGATTCAAATAGATGGCATCTTATTTTTATGTTGTAGCTCCAAGACAGCTTGTTCATAGAGCCACCAAAAACAAAACTACTGCAAACATTTATAAATAGTACACTCTTAAACTCCCCAAATATAGACTATTATTTTGATTCTGAGGTGATGATTCACGACTTCATTTTGGGATTGACTTTGTAGTTATCATGGAAAAGCGATAGCTGACATGATGCCAGTTTCGTCGCCTCAAAAGTGAGACTTGAAAAACATGGGGAAATTAATGAAAAGCTATGATTCATGGGTCCTTCGGGTCTAACAAAACTTGCTCGTTGTCTGAGTGGGTGATTCACACTATTGAAAACGTCTTTCGATCTGTTTATTAAAGTATAGTCACTGGATTCGCCCATTTCGTCGCGTTTTCTTCGGCCGTATCTGAGTCGTAACGCGATTGAGCGCCACGGCCAAGCATAATCGAAAACAATTATTGCGCAAATTATACCCTGATGTATAAAAACAAGTGACACATTATAGTTACTAGTTAGTCACTATTGATTGGCATCCTGTTTTCCAGACAAAGAACACGTGCTAACTAATATACTTCTGTATACCATGTTCGTACAAACAGCTCCACGAAAGACGATATTATGTAGAGTTAATGGTATGATAAACGGTTGAATACTGTTTGAAAATAGGAGAAATATTCAAATAATAACAATGAATGCCAACAATAATTTTAAGTCATCCGTTAAAAATTAACATACAAAAGAAATTTTATGTATGTGGATTCCCGAGAGAAGAAATATATATATTATCTAGGTCCATATACTCCACCATAGTATTCGATATAATCCGAACTACAGACATATAATATACACGATTATGAAACGAGAATATCGGGCAGAGACCGAAGATTTATCTATCGAAAGTTAGGGGATCCCCCAAAACAGCGCTCTCACTCCATAGTGACACCTTGTGTCCCATCACTAATTAATTAATAACTTGCTAATTATACTACATAATTCATCCGAAATCAATAGGCTTCTGGTACGACATATGATGAATGCACATGCAAAATCTGGAGCAGATTCAATCTCGCTTTCGTGGGATATCGTGTGCATCTAACAGACAGACAGACAAATACCTATCAACATACTTACCGATTAAAATCGATAAGTAATAACCCCTCCCATTTGCTTATTTTCAATCACTGTTGCACGAAAACGATTTTAGAACGTATAGTTTGATTCTCAACCTCCTCTTCCCCTTATGAGCATCATTCAAGTTGTATACAAAATGAGCCACCGTAACTCGAAGTACCGTCTCTAATTGGTGATAGAATACCTAACGCGGATTTGAGCCCGGTATCAGACATAGCTACGATGAGAGAGAGAGGGTAGCTAATCTTACAAACAGCTCTATGGCGTCACTAACAACCTGATATATTTATTGTGGAGCTATCACGCATGTGTGCGAATTATGGAATAGACGTCACCGCGATTTTGTTTAGGTCATTTACGCATCAGTATGGCGTCTTTGGCACTTTGGTGTTAATTTCACGAAAAAGAGAAACGTATAAGTTTATTCGCACTCAAATCAACCAAATATCGGTATTTATGTATATAAGTGGAGTGGGAGACTTCATGATCTCGGATTATCTACAAACAAAAAGATTATTTTTTTCATCAAAATCGAGAGTTTAAAACTCAATTTCTGATTAAATGAAATCGGGCTGTTTAGCACGTTAAGATAAAATAGAGTCTAATGGAAAATTCGCCGATTTTAGTCATCTTGAAATATCAGTAATTCTAGACCGAATTCACGTTGTTATGGCTGTTACTGAATTTTTTTGTCTTGATATTAAACAATACATCTCTTCATATAATTCAATACTTTCAACTCATTGTTGCGTTGGATATAAATTTTAAATAGGTATTAAAAACCAAATTTGCCTGCAACATTACCACAAAGCCACATGGTACTTCAAAATGAATTGGACTCGCGAGACAATTATGCATCCGCTTAATAAAATGCCGCTAATTGAAAATCTAGACGAACCTGTTATTACAAAATTCCTCAAGGTATTACGTCGATCAATGTCAAAAAAATTAGTGGAAATACACAAGATGAATTTCTCCTGTGGTCGAAAGTGGGTAATAACTCTGGGTAATACGATCGAAGGCTTGCTTAATTGCTATATGGATACATTATTTGGTTTTGTAGGTAAATGAACTTGACTAAAATATAATCGCCTGTCAGCGTCTAGTTTCGCACTTTTTGCCGGAAGAAATAACGATTAGATGTAGACATTTTTCCTCAGGCCAACAAAATGACGGTTATTAAAAAATATGAAGATTTTTAGTAAAATTATCAATAATAGGAAGAAGTGTGATAAATATATCAACGAAATCTTCACCCGAATTCACTTCATTACACCATGGGTTGGCTGGTGGGCATGGGATTTGACCCCAAAATTTCAACAAAACCTGCGATTCGATCTCAGTTGAATTTAACGCGCCTTACAAAACTTTACTCTGATTATGTTTTAAAAAAAATAATATCGTAAGGAAGGAAGATAAATTATCCAATATTCTAAAACGACATAGATACACATTAGCCACAATGCAGCAGACACAAAGATCATAAAAATGACGACAAGGTTGTTTTGCAGAGAATTTTAAACAGCAAGGTATACTACCATCAAAGGTAATTTATTTTTCACAAGAAAGGAGAAAAAATCGACAACAGAAAACGAACGGAAACCGACAAAAGTGTATTATGGCTCGCTTTAGAATCGTACGTGACTGTTACGTTTTTATAGAATCGTGTAAAACAAGAAATTTCGCAATAGTATGTTTCGACTACTTTGGCTCTCTTCCAAATTTAAAGGAAATTTTATGTTTTGCAAAATTCAGAGATAAGACAAATGATTAGTATGTCAAAGCGTTTCCAAACTAAGAAACAAGTAAACTTAAATACTATTCTACTACTAATTTTTTAAATTGTTAGAAATGGGAAGTATATTTTATAGCCTCGGATTCATGTAATTTGCACATATGTTTTGTTAAAATAAAATCGTGAAAAAATAACTTTGGCATACAAATTTTTGTTGAAAAGTGAGGCACGTATGGTAACTATCCGTTTATTTATAAGTAATCCAACAAGAAGTATACACATGGATCGCTTTGTAGAATTATTGTTGTTGTTGGGGTTGTGAAAAAGTCGATTTTCTCCGCAATTACTGAACCATTGTGGCCCTTCGACAACACTCAATAAATCCTGATCCGACAGTTTATGTTTAAAAATGCAGACATGGTTAAAAATCTGTAATTTGTTTTGCTCTTGTCACTGCGTTAAACCTTTTGGCGTTTTGCCCAGTGCCTTTCCTACTGCAAGGTTAAGCGATTGTTTTTTCCGTGTGAGAATTTTTTAATTCGTCTTGTTTTTTTCGCGTGGCCCAACTAGACTGAACTGCGTCTGGAGCAAAAAACCCTGTACTACACACCCCTGTACTAGACGAATCGATGCACAATTTCCATATCTGAAGATTGAAGTAGTTGCTAGGCGGGTATTCCTAAATTGTTTGGTGTTTACGAATTTTTCTAATGACCCAACTTATCACCCCAAATTTTGAATGTTTGATTTTAATTCATGAGAAAACTATTATATTACATATGGCTATGGGGGAACATTTTTCCATGACCTCTTACATTTGCGTCCATGTATTTGCACATTATACATCCTAATTTACTAGCATATATTGTTTTTAAACTATCGTATATTCAATAACGGAAATTTGGCATATTTTATGTCACATTAAATATTCCACGAGACGAGCAGTACGACGTTTAGTTCTAAGTTTAACACTAATAAATATTTAAACAATAAACAAGACGTAATTGCAAAAATATGTCGCGCACACCAGCTCACCGGCGGGTACCGGCATTACGCAATAATAAACTCAAAAGTTAGCGTAATCACGACCGCGTATTTATTTTCTGGCGACAAGAATCCCGGTTTATGATCGCAAGTCTGTGTTTCCGTACGTCGGCCCGTTTTTGACTAAGATCAGAACTAAACTTATGTTATACGGTTTTGTGGGAAAAGTTGTGCAATTTTCCACACTGAATATCTAGATAGTGTTCATGTTCACTTTATTCTTTGTATTTCCACTATTCCTACGTGTATGACGCATCCCAATGCTCATAGGTTCGAAATAAATTATCCTGTCATGGTATGTTTCGTATTAAAATTACTGAATTTCAAGTGATAATGGAGTTGTCTCAGTATAGCTCTTCTCGCATTTATCAATGTTATAGTGGGGGAAGTCATAGTTATCCAATGCGAAAGAATGGACAAATTTTGAATGGTATACACTATGTAATGGTTTCATGGATGAAGAACAGACTAAGCGATCTTGTACACACCATGTTTCAGGCTGTGGCATGACGCTAGAATATGTGCATTGTGTGGTCATATAGAAAATATTTCAAGATTTTGATATAATTGATAACAACACTAGCAATTACGGCATTAGTGTTGGCGTAAACAACGTTATCAGCTATAATAAAAACTCAAAACCTTACTTACATTTTTGCGACAAATACAATGTTTTTTTTTCACCAATGGTCATACTGCATTATAATAACTATACATGTATGGATTACACACAAATGCCATAGAAAAGGAAGTCCTCACATTGAATTTTTGACAGTACAATCCGAAGTTGTTTACACATTTAGAAGTTCGGTACGGAATATCACCATTTGTTTTTTTACGGCATTTTTAATACTTGCCTACAATGCAATTGAGCTTTACATTTTTAATACTTATAAAGATGAATTAAATGACAATATGAAGTCAACAATTTACATCGATGAATGAAGCTGATTCTGACGGTCTAATCAAAGCTAAAAACAAGATATTTCGAACAAAGCGTATACTGATATCGGTATTACTGATTTTTCTGATACACGTAATGTAAGATTTCTTGAGTATTCACATGTGTTTATGATTTATTCAAATCAATTTTAATGACAATCCTGATTTGATATTCCGCCTGTTTATATTAGGACATTTGTGAGTATAGGTTTCAAAAATCATAATCAGGCATACTCTATCATCAGAATAATGGGCTGTTTCGGTATTTAGCCAATATCGTGCATGAAGATGTAATTTAATCGCCGTATATTCAAAATTATTTTTTTTATGTCAAGAATAGATTACTTGAGTGAACCTATATGAACCTAACCGCGAATATTAGCTGATATATATAAAACGAAAGCGGTTTGCCGAAGGCATTTGTGGATTTGTTAAATCCTTGGTATTTTTCCATAACTGAAGATCATACCGCATAAAATATATGTCGATTTTGTTGAGTATCTTGCGAATACCATATGAAACTTATACTGGCTTTGAAGTTTACATACCTAGTATTCAAGTCCCGGTCAATTTAGTGAGCAACCTTTGAAGAGAATTTATAATACGTTTCAGACCTGTTTAGTGCTCACTCCTATTATGTAGGATGAGTCGCATCTTAGCTGCGCACGCCCGAAAAAAGTTCTGAACAAGAAGGAGCTGCGGAAATGGGGGATGACTTATCTACCACGTCCCAATTGACGTGGTAAGAACGGTAGCTGATCGAGACTACCTAAAGTTTAAAACAGTCCCCTAATTTACAGCCATATTTTTTGATGTTGGAATGAGTCCATATTCTTTTTAACACTGAAATAACACGACTGTACGTCATTTAGTAGCTGAATATGCCCAGCTTTTCATTTTGAGAAAGGAGGTTCCAAATTTTTGGGGTGGTAGATATTTTGCTATTAGCGATACAACTTTAAAAAAAAAGCGTTTGGTGTTGGACTGACCATCTGTATTGATATATTATACACTTATACCGTATACCTATCGTTTCATAATTTTTTTTTATAAAACTGACCTGTTGCTTTAGTTTCTTTTTATTACTTGGAGTAATTCGCTCTTGAAGGCGAAGCTATACATAACGTACACTCCTACCACTGGATCAGTAGGATGCTGAAATAACAATGTTGAATAAAATAAGACATGAGCAATTTCCGAATAAATGCGAACAAGCTATGAATTGGAATTAATTGGGATGAAACCTCAGCCTTCCTCTTCAAATAGTGAAGTGAACTTGAAAGTTGTTGAAATTTTTAATATTTCAAAATTAAAATTCACTGCAAAAAGGTATTTTAAAACTGTTTAGTATCTATCAGTTACTGATTTAATTTAATTTAATTAAATTTGATTTAATGTTCATAAACCCCGATTCGTGAGAAAGGTCGAGTCACAGGTGATCCGATTCACGAGTCATGTCCGAAGTCAAGTCGATCGATCACTAAGCTGAGTCTCATTGGCGGTTAGTTGATGACGTGGCTGGGTGATTTCATTTAGAATGACTCGGGTCACTTAGAGTCTTTGATACACGATGAATCGAGTCCGACTCTGGTCGAGTAAATAATGCTATCAATTTAAACCAGATAATTCGAGTCATGTAAAATTTGATAAAGCTGAGGAATCAATTTAAAACATGAGAGCAATGCTCAAATATAGGACACGTGGGACAGAGCGAAGCAGTCCTTACCCTTGACGTTACCGGTACTCTCAAAAAACTTCCGAGTTTCCAATAGCATGGATTTTCAGAATCCGCCGTCACGCTTGGCGGATTAAAAACCGTGTTCCTTAATTAAAAAGAAATACAACGCTATTTTAAATAAAATATTAGATCTCATGAGATTCATAAAAAATTTAGGAATAAATAAAAGTAATAGTCTGGCAAAAAAAACAATCTATAACCACTGAAAATTTTAAAGCAATTGGTCCAGTATTGAAAAAGAAAAGCTATTTTTTAATGATAATGATGACGAATAACAAGAACAACAACATAGTATTAAATCGATCCATAGGTCCACTCACCTGTCCAAAAACGTCGTCTGAACTGAACGAAACGACTACCATTAAAAACCCAGTTGGCTTTAACAGCAATAGCATTTTTTTGAGGCAATAGTCAAATATGGTTGCAAGCTTGGGGAACCAAGCTAACCAATGTTGTTGTTTTGAAAATTATTTTTTTAAATTGTGACGAAATAATAAAACAACAAATGCGAGCAAAACAAGCTTTGTTGGTGGTCTTATGATCAATTGTTTAACTAATAGACTATAACTGGAAGAGAAACTGCATTGTGCAAATTTTAAGATTTCTGCTTCCGACATACATGTTTGGACCAAAGCAAATTTAGCTTTTATAAATGGACTATCTTGTTCCCGTACTTGATCGAACAAGAAAAGTAAATGGTCCTCATATAAATCATAGATGACATATCTAAATATCAACAAATAAAATCCTCTTTGCTGTGATTGTTGAATTTGGTGCACGATTATGCTAGTGGTGCCATTATGGTGCTTTATGTCGTCGAGCAAAACAAATGACATCATAATAGATTTTATAGCAGTGGTCACGTCGGTACATACGTTGTCACGGCAACGGTCCAAACAGTGTACGACAGAAGCTGATGGAAGGATACTAATTACGATGCCCATTAATTGTATCGTAAACTGGACAATAAGCCAGGATATCATGTATCGGTGTATGGTATAACTGGACAAGGGAGATATAAAAGATCGAAAAATGCCTTTGCGTGAAATTGCGTAAGGCGGGGTAATTGTATACTGTTCGGAGAAAATGACAATGTGAAGTTTCACACAGATAAGCCCGTATTTATATCAACTCTTCTTCGCGCTTTTTGTTATTTTAGGCGTATAATATACGAGAAATTCAACAATATCAATAAGAGATTCTGGCCCGATATGTTGATCGGATCGGTATCGGAGATTGAAATAAAAATTATTAGTAAACAGCTCTTACATACATATCAATGGTTACCGGACCGAGTCTTGTACGGTATAAAAGATTTGAAAGAGCCTTCCAAATTCTACACGCGATGTCAAAATTGAAAAACGTTTTCAATAAATTAGAACACTTCGACATCTGGGTGAATGTCCAGGCTCCACTTGCATCGTATTTTTAGTTAGGACAAAGTTGTGACGCCAAATTAAAGCTTCTTTTACAACCCATCTACCGGTAGCTAACCCAAACATGCGGTTGTATTTCAATTCTTCAAGAATCCCGCACAAGAAATGTACAATATTTTTCAAAAAAAAATCTCGGAAAAATATAGAAATTCTCACATTTCAAGCCAGAGCGCTTTATCGCATCTCACTAACATGCCCTATAATTTTAAATACCACATCGTCAAGTTACGTTTTCGAAAGCGCGATGCCAAGCATGGCTTAGTTACTCATTGTATACGCTTTATACTTGATTATCTATGAACTAAGAAATATTTCTGACCATGTTTAAACCAGGCATAACGTACAATTATAGACTGACGGCATCAAGGCCAAGTGACGTAAAATAATTGCGAAATTCAAATTTTTCGAAATAACCGCGCTTATTCAAATACGGGAAGGCGGGTCGTTTTATAATATATGACAGTAAACAATTCTATAGAATCGTGCAATAAAGATAATATGTACAAGAACAAGGTCGGTAAACATTTCCTATAATGTAGAGAAAACGACTCTCGAGTTAATGTAATTACGGCAGTGCAATAGCTGTAAAATTGAATCTAGGGCGTGTCCATGAAAAAGCGATTTTTAAGCACTTCCGCGGTAATCACGTAATGTAAAGCAAAAATTTTATATATAAAATTCGATACTCCCGAATCCCGAAGTATGTGAAGCAAGATGGTGGCCACCGGAACGTAGTATGCCTACCAGGTTAGGATTAGGCCATAATTGTATTCCAATTTTCCTTATTTTAGTTCTATTACTAGTTCGGGGAAAAGCAAAGTGACTCCCGTAGTGTACCTGAACCTGGTACACATATTACGTTCAGGTGTCCGCCATCTTGGTTCACATACTACATGATTACCAATAGTTCAGTATATATAGTAAAAACATGAAGATGAAAAAATTGTAAATCCTTCGTCAAATCATACACTTTCCTAAAAAGTGGCAAAATGATATAAATAAACTATTTTTAGAAAAAATCGTTTCTGATGATTGGGTTTATTTAGAGCATGACTTTGTGAAAAGAAATCTGTGTCGATTGTGATAAAATTTTCCCAATGTTTTCTTTAAACTGGTTTCCAGTTCATTGCAGCGTGATGATCGTGACGATTGGTTTCTTGGGAAACGGGAAAATCTGCGTAACTATTTAGCTGCCATTTTCTGCTCCCAGAATCCGAAGGAACGGACAATAAAGATTACATGTTATGTTTAAATATGTCCGTTTGTGTGTTTTGTTTATATGTTTTTAGCTTGCTGGAACTTCTGATTCAACGTAGTCGAGAGAGGTGACCGTACATTTGAACCCATGTGTATATCCGCGGGTTCAATCTATATGAGGATGCTAAAATCCATGGGTTAGGATTAGTATGGGTTCAAATATCCGTAAAAATAGAATTTCCATAGGTGCAATTGCCGTGGGTTCAAATTACGGGTTCAAATGTAATGGAACCTTGAGAGAGTATGGTATATCCTGACTTACCCGAAAAGCATTTCTCCGATCTGGCTGCAACCTTTAGCAATTGCATAAGGAGAATAAACTCTTCTGTAACCACTGATGCAACTTCACATTCAATGATAATGGAGAATATAGTTCAATATCTGTAAAAAGTTACTAGTTTAGCTCAACAATGAATAAATGTAATATGTATTGTTAGGATGTTCATATTTCGAATAGTCAGACAAAATAGTCAGTCAGTTCTTTTATTCAAAAAATTTCAAAGTTGAATATTCAAAATCACGATTTTGCATCACGGATTAAGAATTTGACAATAACTATAATTCCATTATTTATTTGTATTCTCAAAATACAATTTTCAAATATCAATTTCGTTCACCCCGATTGAAATATTGAAAAAATCAAATCCAAAGTTTTGATACTTTTGGTACGGATGATTTTAAGAAAAAAAGTAGGTACTTTTCGATTATGTTAATAAGATTCACTACTTTTCTGATTTACTTTTTTTTTATTCTGGTTATCTTCCATTCGGCCAGGTAGGGTAAAAGGCGGGCAATAGCCTACTCGAAGATAAACAATAAAAAAACAGACTGACTAACCGCTGGCCGTCAACAAAGTGTCCATTTTGACTCTTTTTTTTACAAATAACAAGTTTTGATAAGACCACCTTTACGAAATTATTGCCCATCTGTTTATTAGATCAAAATCGCGGCGATAACGACTTCTTGGGCATAGATCAAATGAGTGTATCTAAATTGCAATCGTTTAAGACATCGCCAACTAAAGGCCCGAGAAAAGGTTTTCGCCAATTTACCAAAAAGAAATAACTTGCTCCACACTACAGGACAAATACACAACAAACAGTCATTTTGATTACCGGTACATTATTTCATGATTAACCGTGACTCGATAGGACAATATTCTTGATGCGGGATTGAGATAGATTAAAGATAAAAAAGGAGTAAAACTTTATCTCTCAAACTAATATGTAACTGGAGACTGGTTGAACTAATGAACCATTTTCTTGAGTATCAAATAAACTTTAAAACGAGATCACTCCAAACAGATGCTTTTTATAATTTTCATTACATCTTTCAAAATCAGTAGAAATCCATACATAAACACCCATATTTCCGGACATAACAGATCAAGTGAAATTCAAGTACATTATGATTGAGATGTTTCTAAAGCCCGATATACGTTTCTTGTTATATAGTTACGCCCAACGCAATATATCCCATAGTCGAGAGCTATCATATTTTGGGATGGGGTAAGTACTCCGTGCCACAATACATTTTTAGCGAATACAGTTTTGAAAATACATCATTTTCAATTGAGTATTTAATGAAATTCGACTATTCTATCATTCCCATTGCTAAGTTGAACCTACTTTTTAAAAATATTGCGAAATAAACACCACAATTTCACGTGTAATTTTTTTTAATAAAATTTCCAATAAACAGTGGGATAGGTAATCTTACCATTGTTATTATCAGAGAAAGGAGAAAAGAAATATAAAAATGACACAGGAAAATAAACTTGAGGTAGGTACAGGTGGAAAATTACAGTGTTTGTGTGTACAATTATATTCAAAGACAAGTACGTTATTCGGACATACATGAGTGTACAAAAAGAAAAGACACAAAAGCAATACACAATCGTGGATGAGGTATTAATGCTAGGCGCTTAAAAGACGTGGTTTACCGATGGTCCATGATTGACGTATAGATAATATTATACAAAAAATAGGCCAGACGAAGACGTTTAAAAATATAATAGAAACACATTGTTATCTTATGATCTTTCAAAAATATTTCAGTGCTTATCAGAGGTATCAGACTGTATTCTGACTGTGCCCTCCCTTACAATCTAATAATTGAATTTGTCGCGCAATAAACGTGCATTTTGGCAAGTATGTTTCGAAAGTTTTTATCATCATTTAATGAATGATTACAAACATTTTTGATCTTTTTTTGGTAAACTTCTCAAATCAAAATTGAATCTGTGAGTCGGGCAAAAAATTCGTTTTAGAGTAAATTTAGGATAAGATTATTGAAACGTTGATTGAATTGTATCAGTTAAATAGCGCCGAACAAATACAAATTTAGAGGTACTTTTTTCCGAGGTAGTTGCAAGTACAAATTCGATAATATTTGCCAAGTTAAGCAAAGTGAAAGCCATGTACACTCACCTAACAAAAGAGAGGGAGACCCACCTCTGAGGAAAGTTATGGGCGACAACCTGTCTTGAAAGCTTTGCTCTATTTCGAGGTTCCAGCTCTCAGACACACACGGAAATCCAAAATAGTTCAATCATTATGAATCGAAATTATCAATTTATTTTGAGAAAAAATTAGGCTAATATCCGGATAGTTGCATTTCTGGAAATCTGCCGAAAGACCAAACAAACATGACCAATTTTATATTGAAATTATGATACTGCCGAAAGTTGCATAAATGATGATGTCATTTCCAAAATGGCAAGTTTAGAACAAATCAAACTTAAATTTTGAATATCACACTAAAAAATTGTAGAGAAAGTAAATTCGAACTTTGCTCATTAGATAAATCACCCAGCATAACATTTTCAGATGCATAGTTTAATTGTTTATTGAAATAAACATGTGTCAATTCCGAAAAAATCTTTATTTTCACATTTCTGACCACATGCTGAAACTGACATTTTGCCTTCTTTCGTCACTTGAAAGTAATATTACTTGAAACCGCATTCATATTAAGATCACGGATTGTTCGAACCAAAATACCTCGTGACGTGACGTCAGTTTCAATACGTGACGTTAGGACAAGTTGGAATACGTGTGCCGTGACATTTCACTCAGTTCAAGTCAAATATCATTGAAGGTCGTCCAAATTACGAACGGCAATAAAGTCGTCAAAATTAGATGCTTTTATGTCCGACCCCAAGACAATATTTAGGTTTTCGCGCGGAGCTATTAGTAATACAATAGCGCGATAAATCTTTTTTTAAATTCCATAACGAGTGTTCATAATCTTCTTTGTCTTCTTTTGTGAAAAATTTCCATATTCATAACGTTTTTTAATTCGACCTCGTATAGTACTTTCCACTTTAAACGTGGCATGAGTAAGATGCCTGATACCGTGTTTTGTGGTGTCACGTTGCACTACTCTCAACCCAACGACTACCATTCATCAATTGTATGAAAAATTGTCGACCGCCAGTCCATTCAATAATAATTTGCATTTTAGCTGAAGTAATGTGCGTACACGCGAGTGGCAAATTTACTGAAAGGTCGTTACAGAACTAATCAATTCATATCAAAATATGTTACATCAAATGACAGTTCTATTTGAATTCAAGTTCAAATTATCTTTCAACTTTTATAAACTTTCATCTATGTTTATAGATTCCAGAAACCTCCTTTTTCTTTCATGACCACGTGATTCGACGTCAGCCACGTGATATTTTGAGGCAATAAGGATTGTAGGCAACATTATGCGTTCATTTTATTTCACCTTTGTGTTTTACATCTGCTGAAATGTTAATCTCCTAATTCGACGTCCAAAACTTCGTCAGCATCATGGAAATTGAAAATTCCTTCATCGAAACGTTCTATGAAAAATGAAACAAGTTTTAGGCTTCGTATTTAAATCATAGTTCCAGTTTCAATTCCAGTAAAGCCGTAGCCAACTCTTTATTCTTTATTGCACCCTCGGATATTTCAAGAATACACAATCGGCCAAGGGTACAGGATATGAAATCTACAAGACTAAATTTGACATTAGAGAATTCCACGACTTAATATCATTTCCACCATAATGGTTATATCCTTCCAGAATAAAACGAAATTGTAAAAATTAAATCCTACAAAACATCCTTAATTAGGTTTTCTTACGAATGGAAATGCCCCGTAATAAAAAAAATAATATTTGTCATAATTCGACGTTGTATAAGCGTATGGGAAGTCCGACCTGACGGTTATGCGTGCATTAACAAGCAAGAATATCCTTCCCCTTGTGTATTATATACACGTTATATTAATCATAGCGTGGTATTTACCGTTTATTTTTCATTCACAAATTCCTTCCGGAATCAATCATAGTAAATTCAGGCGGATTATTTTTCATTCATAAAATGCATGGGAACGCATGGTTAGAGACTCATGCAACGTGCGGTTTGTGGGATTTCTCAGAAAACGATTAGCGTATTGTAAAATTCGACATACATAAAAACAATCCTTCACTGTGTTTCACGTGTGGCCCACGCTTGTGGTATGATACTCCATTAACAATTTAAAATGGCCGTGTATGTTATAGCTTAACGAATCTGCTCCAATTCTAAAGAGTGAATATATGTTGTAATGGTGTCGCGATTAAAATACGAGAAATTACCACAAGTTCACAACCACTAAAATTGAGGCCAGAAAAAAAAATTGACAGACAGCCATCATGTTTTAAATTTATTAGTTTTCTTGAGTCAAAATAAAGAAACGCAGCTGCCTCCAGTTTTTCAAATACTGCCAACATACTTCCTGTGTTTCGTCGTAACAAATAATAAAGTGTGAAGTATCGAAACCATCTGCATTTTTATCAGTTTCGAAATATGTAATTCTAAGAAGCTTGATATTATAATAGGCACCACGAAGCCTGATATATCCGCTAATAATCCGTGTTGTGCGATAAGAAGATTTGACAAAACGCAGAATGATAAAAATGCGAATTTTAAATTTGACTCTTCATACGATAACTTTACTTTTAGTTTTTTGGGACTGAAAATATACAAAAATTCGATTGGACAAAAATAATTGGAAGTATTGACATAAAACTGTTTTGTGATCAGGAAATCGATTTCTATATATTTTTCTGTTTAATTCTAGTATACGAAATCGGAATTATCTGGTAAAATACTTCTGTATGCAGTATTTTCACACCCGCATTTCAAATAAGGCACTGAAGTAGCAAGTTTTAAAATACTAAAATGCTACCATATAGAGACTTCTATCTTTTTCAACAAACTTTGTTATCAGTGGTTCCTTGTTCCGTGAAGAAATGGAATACTGTACCCTATTACGATGATATAGTGCAAACCCGCCTTGTCACCTTAATCCAATGCGGTCGAATCATAATGTCAAGCAATCACATTGGTGATTAAGGTGTTCTAGGCAGGCAGCAAGTTCATTTTACTTGATTAAAAAATGGAAACATAGCCTAGTCTTTAAATCTCACTGACAAAGCTTCTTTTTATAATCTATTCATGTGGTCACGAAATTTTATTAATTAAACTACACAGTCTAATTATCACTTTTCTCCATTGTCAAAAATCCAAATACCGAACATACTCCGACGCTGTAATACTTAGTGTTGACTTCCGCTAGTACATTCATCGAGAGACACCTGTTATTTCATCAGCCATTGCCAATGTCAATGCCAAAAAGAGACGAATGACGGCGCTTTATTTCAGTTAGGTAACGCATTGAAAGAACGTAATTAAATCTTACGCAACTACAATCTTTTAATAACGAACGAAATTGTACCTATTTATACAATGATAGCGCCAAATCATAAAGGCTTGACGTAAAAGCGCAATCGCGGAATGTCAATGGATAGACGAATAAATACAATATGTAATCAGTCTCCAAAAGGATGATAGTTTGCGGTGGCATAGGGCACATTTCAACGTTACAAAAAAGAATATTTGGACTTTATGTAACGTGACACAAAAGCCCACACATGAGTTTATATAGTGATATATATTCCCTAGTGTAACGTTCAATTATGAGTGCCCACATTTACGTCAGTAAGACTATACCAGGAAAAAGTTTTACGATGTTATTGCCCATACTCTTTGTTCACCCGTCACCAACACTGCGAGATCTGAAGAACAGAACTAAGCTGCTAAAAGCAGAATTGGTGACCAAGGTGCCGAAGCAAATGGCACTATAGAAATGCTCTAGTCTAACGTTACTGTTATACGGGTTTTTACAGATTAAAAGAACGATCAAATTAAGCTCTGTCAGAAATGAATGAGAATATCATTCTACCTGTCATAAATATATAATAGAACGATGCATCTGTCTCGTCTCAGATCTCGGCGTGTCCAGAGATCACCAGTTGGAACCAGAATGAATTTTTCTAGCGTCACCTAAAAATAAGGTCAGATTAATTTTTTATTTCAGTCAGCGGCCTTTTTAACATGGGTCATTGTAAAATTAGGAAAAGTGGTATGATTTATCATTACACCATACATGATCTAACATCTGATTGCGTTCGCTGAAATGATTGCGCCATGATGACGTTGTGATCACGAGATAGGGTTGATGACCCTTGAGATCGAGAGAGGAATTCTTGTCTGAAAATTCCAAAGTTCGAGTGATGATAACATTACGTCATAAGACAAGATTCAAAGGTTGATTGTTGTCAATATGACTCGAAAACAGCGATGTCGAAAGGATATGATTTCCATAGCTTTCTTCACTCCGAACAGCAAATGCTGTTAGGTAAAAAGATACTTTTTTTAACGAACCACAATCTTTTCGATTCGACAGTGCCTACACAGTTCATGACCCTTTGGGTTAGGAGATTCAAACCCATATTTTACGTCAGAATCAAATTCATCAGTGTCAAATTTTATTACGTAATTAGTTATCAACACTGATACAGGTGATCATCGAAAAATACTTTAGTAAAGCGAGAATGACATTTGAAATGACTTGAAACATTTCAGAAAAATACAATACATCACGTTTCGTGAACATTAATCAGTCTAGACTCGACAGGGGTATTTTCATTTTCAAGATTACCAAGTTTGTGGTCTTTTTGATATAGAAATGAATAACGAATTTCACGACCTCCGTCAAATATTGAAACATTATTTATTGTAGGAGACGACAGACAAAAAACTGGCATCTGGTATCCTAGAAAAACGAATTGGTGATTGACGATAGACGTGGTAGGTTATTACCTGCCAACAATATCTCTAAGCATATAAACTTTGCCGTTCGTAAACTTTCAGTGCTCGACAACAAATAATATATCACAGTCTGAAACAATCATCAGAACCATATCAAAGCAATCTTACTTCATATCCACTGCAGTCTCCTTCAACATCGGATCCATAGACGTCAATTATTTCATTCTGATCGGTGTATACTTTGGCTGTAATAATCGATATTACTCATTCTTACTGTTTTTCATCCCCTAATCCAAGGTACCAAAAGCTAGTGAAACTATGAGGCACTCTAACGTTTAATTACAATAATATAACTGCAAATGAATATATTGATAATTAATATATCAAACATCGGTGTGCCATTTGGCAGATTATTAAATTATATCCCACACGGAAATATTCAAATCAACAACGCACCGCACAAACTCCATCAAAATAGCATGTAAAGGTACCGTGCCGAGACTCTGATTATTATACTGGTCGAATGCTTGAACGCCATTTTTTATATTTGGTTTAAACGATGAACGGAAGAGCAACATCCTTTATAATTCTTACTCCCACAGTCGGTGGTAACAGGGAAGGATGGAAACAAACACCGATAACGAGTTTGCTTCAGAGAAAATTTCGCAAATTTTATGCGGTAAAAATAAAAACGGGTTCGAATGGCGAGTGATTACTCAACGGAAAGCGTCACTACTTCCACAAACACGTCAATTCCAGGGAAAGAATTTTTTTTCGTAAAATATGTCGAGAAAGACAGTAAGCTGAACATGTCCAACCAGGACTGTGGTATAAATATGAGACAAAGCTATATTCAAGTATGCACAGTATTTTGGCATTAACTAGAACACATGTATCATGAAAAGTCATATTATATTACCCAACAGACAGGTATATCGTGTACTACGTTATTTCAGACGTGGTGGACGGTGGTAAATGGAAACTAAATAAATCTCTTTTGTAATCAGCGTCAGCCATCGACCTTCAACATATTGAACTAGTCGAGTACGCCATATTGTGTCCACGTGACTACCACATGAAAGATGACGTCATCCATTGTTTGTCAAATGTCTTTCCTAATACGAAGCATCACTTATTTTGACATTTCATATTGTATAAAGGTAATGAGAATATCAGTAAAGTCAGCTGTCATATAAAGTCAGCATAGCCAATACTGATATCAAAACAAATTTTTCGAAATTGGATTAATTCCGATAGAAATATTCCACCAATGCTCAGAAATTGTGACTATTACAAGCAGAAAAACAAACAAAAAGTTGCTGTGTCATCTTGACGAGGCACGCCTATGGAGCTTCATTCAAACTCGAGACAAACCAAGAGAAGGTTATGTAACGTGTAACTATATAAAAGCATCACGTGCGCTTCGAGCAGACTGACGCGACGTTTTCGGACTAGATATATCACTTAGAAATATCTCTCTCTCTCAAAGTAACTTCAAATCAAAACAAAACATGGTGGGAAACCTGGAATGGAACCATTTTTTAAATTCCCTTTTAGTCATCGAAAAAAAAATTTAGAATTTAGAAAATTTAGTTAATTAGAACCTCAATTAATTCTGAATACTAATTTTAGAACATAGGAATTTACAGGTGCTATTGATTTCCGCGCCTACTTTCGATAAATTTTAGTAATTATTCTTTTTGTTTGGTCATCGAAAGATCATAAATCCACGGTAGTAAATACGCCACGATCCTGTTATAGTTTCTTGGTGATTGCCCCATCACCCATTTTCGAATCTATTTTCTTTTACTATGTTCATGTTGGGTTAGGTTTTGGTCTCATCTTTTAGCTTGTCTTGATATAAGCAGAAACATAGGATTAGTAGTGAGACATTAACACGATAGTACAGTAAATACTGTTTGCTAGATGGTAAGGGAGTGATATATTCTTTTAAAGCACAACAAAATCTCGACCTCGAAAGATGGGCGTCGATACATAATTCTTGATTATATAGTTCAAGTCAGACACGACAAAATAAATCCATAAAATATTCAAAGAAAGCAGATTTGAAACAGCTATAATTGTCTTCTAACAAATAGCAGGCAAAAAGGAGAGAATCCAAATTCAACTTACACTGAATCGACAAGCCTTCAGTATAGATACAAGCGCAACTGAAATGTAATATAAAAAGTGCAAGCGCTGTGTACGAAAGTGACACTTACTGTCTAGTACTAAGTAGTAATAAAGTATCATGCGCTATATTGTCTACTTGTCTAGAAAGAGCTTGTCCTCTCAAAAACTCTCACTGGTATTCCATCTGAGTATCATAACTATTTCAAACGTGATGTGGTTACTGAACGGTCGAAGTTGGAAATGACCGACACCACAGGTCCGCCATCCTCTGTCGTTTAAATATAGTAAGTACGACATGGTCACGCGCGATTTATATAAGCAGGCTTGATGATTCATCGTCTTCACAATATTGAAAAATTCTTTAAGCTGGGCGACTTTTTTCTAGCGTGTGAGATGCGCAGTTCCTTTCACCACAAATCACGATGACGTCATTGAAAGTAAATTTTGATATTGAAAAACGTATCATATGGACGTGATTCGAATAAACGAATTAACTTGTGAACCATGACACGGCTTTCGGCCAATACTATTCAAATACAAATGATGAAATTGAAAGATTATTTCTCAAAATGTTGGCATGACTTGGTATTTGAGAACAAATAATTGTGCACTGTGTATGCTATTCGAAATGACCTATTTGCTAAATAGCATGACTATATATATGTAAACAGGTTTTAATGATGAATATTCAAGCAGTATTTCATCAAAAAAAACTGACATCTAATAGAAATGATACGCGGATAAATAATGACATCACTTATCTCCCTACAAAATAAATTCTATAATGTCATGCATTCGGCGAACTGATCAAAGCAAAATTCGAAAGAAAAAGAAAATCATTGATTTTAAAATTGATTTTAATAACTGAGCTACTATAGACTAATATACCCGATAGACTACCAGACAACCTATGGCCGCGACCCTGTATTGAGTAATAAAAACAAATGACGGCGTAGCTGTCTGGCATCTTAGGGGGCGACATCCATATCGTTGAAACGTCTCCATACCGACAAGAGTGGAAACCGCTCGCGGGAAGATGACAACACTTACTTGGCAAAACCAACACGTCAAAGACGATGACAGTATTATTGAAGTGAGCAACTTATTACCCAATAACATTTATTATGTTATAAGAATTATTCATATGTAAAACCGGACATATTATTAATTTGTGAACAAATTTAGGAAGTACAGGCACAGTAAGATACTGAAATATGACGCATTAAAAAATATGACGGTACGATAAAATATGAAATCCGCAAAACAGTTTCCAAAATAGTTTAAATGTATACTCTATAAACAATTTTAAAATCATAATCTATATTTTATAACACGCAGCAATATATAACACTACTCTTTGGTCTTGCGTGATTCACAGAACATCCGACCCGGATGATGACGTCAATTTCACAATGATTCTTTTTACGATAATCTCACTTGAAGCGACTTTCGTTGGTCACTCAACATCGACTGCCCCGTCGTTCGCTGAACATACCACGATTGAAATGATATTTACACAGTCGTTAGAGTCGCGTTTTCTCGAAAATCAACCATAATGAAAGAATTCTAGTCACGTAGGATCGCTGTAAAGAGAAACTCGTGTATTTACTTTCTCCTTGCCTACAATACATTAGTGTTAAAAATCGTGGGACACGCCTTGTTCACATGAATCTTTAACAGTAGTCTATAGTCAATGCCAAGATAAGATGACACGGTCACAAAAAATTGAGAAAAATTGAATTACGCAATATGAAGAAAATACTAAAGAAAAAAACAAATAAAAATTTCTGTCCTGCATACAAAATTCATTGTAACTATTAGACTGAGCTGGATTAATCACTAAGCAAAATAAGTATGTGTCTAGGGCACCAAGGGAAAGGGGAGCCACAAAAATTTCCATAGACGGATTTTCGATTGTGTCTCAGCGTTCAATGACATGATTAGTTGGTGGGATGATTCGAACTTCAATATTGGCCCGCTTGAAATAAATTTTTGCTTATGTTCTCAAGTATCATCTCTATGAATGTTTGAGAGCATGAGAATTATTTCCAAAATATATCATATAAATTAATCATAATTTCAAGCAGTCTATTCCGCGGCAGTTTCACAGCGATATCAGTTCATCACAAAAATCATGTTATCTAAGTATGGCCACGCTGACATCCGGGTTATTATGCGTAGGTGATTTCCACTCTCGAATCAAACTTTTCGGTTTTGGCCGTTGCCAGACCGCGAAGCACGCACATCCATAACAAATAACAACAAATGGCAATACAGAAATCACCACAAAGAAAGGGAAGGCATACCGACACAATCAAAACAACGCGACTGAAGATCACGAACTTATAATCAAAAAAATAAGACTGTTCTCGGATAACCGAAAAAGACGTTAATGTAATTCACATAAAGTTCATATGCAAACCAATTCAATGTCAAAAATATATTTCAATGCTTCTATTATGAAGAAACTTCGAGAAAAAGTATATTTTCAATTTGTGTTAAACTGAAGCACCGAATGTATAGTACCACGCCCAAAAGCAGAAAAGATAAAATATTTGAAACATGCAACACAATTTGGAACGGTTGAGCACAATTATATATTTTATCTATATGTAGTACAATATTTTGAAATGAAGTAATTTATTTCACAGTATCAATGTACCTATTTTTATGTTATAAACTAATACACAATAACCCAATTCGAAACCACCATGAAACTACACCACCTCGCTAAATCTAACCGGTTTTCGTCATGGGCGGAATAAGAGAATACCACGGTATCGACGACGGCGGCGCCGTCGTTGACCAAGTTCCCGCTGTGTGCGTAAAGCGGCCATATTCTTGAATATTTAAATTTGGTTTTTCGTCTGTTATGTCAGGCTAGTCACGTACGATATTAATGCCTCTTGTCTGGCTCGCTGGCTGTTGACGACGGCCAAGAACTGGCCGAGAGCGTAGATGGATGGTGGCGACGAACTATCCCGTCTGCCGCCGATGTTGCGAAATAGTCAATGGCGGTCCGTCTCGTCGCGTACAATACAGCTTTGTGTATTGGTCCCGAGGGATTGAAACTGGCCCTACGGTACCCGTGCCAAGTCTTAGCCCGTATTCAATCATATGTCACCTAACTGGAAAAGAATTATATTTTCTCTGAATTTAAAACTTTGTAAAAGAGAAAATCGCACTTTAACATTTTATATGCAGAATATAAATTTCTTTATAATTTTGTGATTTTACAAACTTTAGTCAATAGAATAATTTGGAGGTAGTTGCACCGATTTGCAAAAATCGAAACAGTTTGGAATTATGTATTAAGTAGTGGGCCAAAAAGCATTGAAAATTTCAGATCTATCGTGCAGCAAAATCGAATATGCCATATTTAGCAT